GCCGGCTAAACCACATGATGGTAGCTGATGGGTGAGTTAGGGACTTCCCTTGCATGCAAAGACAGGCTCCAGTGGATGGAGCGGACGAGACCAATAGTGGCTCCAATGCTCAAGAAGGCAGTTTCTGAACATGGTGTGGCGGGAAATAAGGAGTAGTTGGGGTTTGTCAACTGGGAAGGTAGCCTATCTAGGAGAAGGAAAACTCTGGTCCTAAACTTCTGCTGCCTTATGGGATATCTTAGGGAGCAGAAAAGGCTAAGGAGTAAACTCTACACAAATCCAGAGTGTAGGACGGTTGGATAGTGTCTTGTATGCCTTCTTCTGGCAACTCCCGCAGCCAAGCTGGTGCCAAATGTATTGCTCTGCTTTCCTTTGGACCACATCAGCAAGGCCTGGACAGCCCAGGACCTCCATACACACACTGCCCAGGCTTGTGCCCTGGGGAGGCCACTTTGGTGTTGCTAATGCAGCAGTCTGACTTCATCCCGAGGCACACTCCATTGCCTCTCGAGACACATGCCCACCTCGCTGAGTCAGAATGAAAGCAAACCACAATCCAATACTCCGTTTCAGCAGTGGATAAACCAGATGTCCTCGTGAAATGCAGAAGCACTCATCTGCTGTAGTTTACTCCCAGTATCTGGTAATCAGAGCCATGCCGCTTCCAAATATGAAGGTGCCATTTTTAATCATTTAAATAATTGTTCATTATTCCAAACCCCGCAGTGAACACTGACTTCACTGCCCTGTATAGCACACATGCGGTGCTAAATATTCAATAGTGGCTGCAAAGCAGCTGTGCTACATAGAATACAGGAGGCCAACTATTCAGTCAAACCAGCTCCATCCAAAACGGTAAGCCATCTCTTTGTAACTCCACTACTGTATCCTTTTGGAAAACCAGCATATATTCTGATTTTTTCTTTTCCTTTTTAAGACCAGCTGTAGGTGGACCCAGGGCTTTTTCTCATTAACTACTGTGTGGCAAAAAAATCTCTCTGATCGCCCTCTGTTTTGGACCAACCTGCTAGCTTAAGTAGATCATGACGCACTCCGAAATATTTGTTTTGGTTAGTTGTACACAAAAGGGGCAGGCAGCTCCTAGCAGTTGTAAGCAGCAAGCGACACGCTGGACACTCAAAAGGAGAGGGGGGTGTCAAAGGCAACTAATGAGCAGAAGGGGTGTGCGTAAAAGTCCTACTTAGATTGCCTCTCAGGGGAACAGCTGTTTCCTTGTAAACATTTTATGAGTTGTTCTGATTTCAAGTTTGAATGAAAAACATTTGTTGTGGCCAAGGTTTGAGGGCGGGGGGGGGGGAGAGAAAAAGAAGGTGTCAGTGGGGAAGATTCAATGCCTGTCCAAATGACAGGCTCTCAAAAGCAGAAAATTCAAGTTGTATATGCTCACATGAAGCCTCCTCAGTAACTGAGCTGCTGCTTCAGTTGATCATATAGAGAAAGCAAAACAAAAAACAGGAAGGCATTGCTCCAGAGAGCCTACAAAGGGGATGTAGGTAGCATCTAACAATTTTGTGTCCACATAAACCAATACTTAGTGGTATCTTGCTCCTGAAAAATGATATTTAATTCAGCTACAATACCCCAAATCTGTTATTATCTCCATGACATGTTGTCTTCTCTTCTTTGAAAAACCCATTGAAGCTAGCTTTGAAAGTTAATTTTTCACTAAGCGAAACAGTAAAACATTTTTCACCTGCCCTGACTGTACTGCTAACTTTCATGGGTTGACTCCTTGAGTTTCAGAATTAAGAGATGGAATGGAATGAAGCAGTTCCGCCTGCAAGCAAATTATTAAAAAATAAACTAGGCATACCTTCAGAATGATCACCCACTTTGATTTTAAAAACAGCAAGCACAAGGCTGGAGACATTGTAAAGACTAACATTTATTATGGTATAAGCCTTTGTGGACTAAAGTCCACTTTTTCCATTTCACTATTCGGAGATTTTGCTATGTTGCTGGTTAAGAAAGCACGACTCATGACCCTTTGCCTCCCAAAGACCACTCCAAAGATCAGTAATCTACCATCCGGACAGATCAGTTGAGTAGAAGCCAAAGCACTTACCAAGCTTTGACATTCTGTGTTGTTTTGTACATTTGTAGAAGAATTACACAAGAGGACAAGCTGACACCACTTTCAATAAATATCCTCATCCCCAAATAATTCCTCTGTCCAGCCATCCAGGCTCCAGTGTAGAGCCCATGGGTGTAGCTAGAAAAAACTGGGTGGGGATTAATTCTCTCTGTGCCCTGCTCATCTCCTAGCTTTCCACTACCTTCCACCTTCAAATCTGAAGAACTTCTGCTGGTGGTATGTTTTTTGTTCTGAGGGCATATTCAGTCGAGCAGCAATGTTATGCAAAAATGAAGCCAAAGTTCACCAGAAGCAGCTTAGCACAATTGAATCCCCAGGCAATCACTTTCTCCTTGCCTAAAGTCAGGAGTCAGGAAGAAATGCCCTACTAGGAGCTGCGTGAACCAGGTTATGTATCATAGGATGAACAGAACATCCTTATATCTAAGCTGAAAACTTGCTCAAGTCAGCTTAAAGAATGTATTAATTGCTTCTGCGCGCATACACACACACACACACACACACACACACATATAGACAGCCGTACTTTAGTCTTTGAACAGCTTGCTTCTAGTTTGGGCTCCCAAACAAGGCAAATCTGGAATTGAATGTTCCAGTTTGCGAACGATTTTTGGAAGCCAAACATCCAACGGGGCTTCTGATTGGCTGCAGGAGCTTCCTGCACCCAATCTGAAGCCACACTTTGGTTTTTGAACATTTTGGAAGTCAAACAGATTTCCGGATTGATTCCGTTCCACTTTCAAGGTATGACTGCATGTGTGTGTGTGTGTGTGTGTGTGTGTGTGTGTGTAGAGGCAATATTTTGGTGGGGAAAATTTTATGAATTAAGCTTATAATTAAAAAGCAGGCGATACGGGTAAGAATGACCCCAACACTTTGGTAGATGTAGGAAACTGTCCCCCTCAGACTTCTATACGTCTATTATGTTGCACTGAATGTGCTTTGCCTTGGGATTCAAATATTATTCCCTCTTGGGAGACAATGGTCTATCAACTTGGCTTCCTGCTTTTGATTGAGTAACAGTGGAAAAATTGCATAGCTGGCTAGCAAAAGGGGAAAGGAAGATCCCAAGGGAAAGTGGGTCATCCACAGGCTTAAGCAAGCCTGACCCACTGATCACTCAGGATTCTAAAGGAGTCTGGATATAAAGAAAGGTACGCAAGCTAAGCCAACCTCTATAAGCCAGGTTAGGCTATGTGCACCAGTCACAAGGGCTTAGGTCTATTGCAGCGAGTAAGTCAACAAAGCCCCAGCCTTTGGCTGGGCACAGTGCAGCTCTGGAGCCCAACAACAGAAAAATGCTCATAGTCTGCCACATCCAGCATGTTTTCCCCTCCTACTAAACAGTGGCGGAGGCTTTGCTGAATTAAAGAGAACTGAGGAGGGGAAAGGGTCATGTTTATTGTACCTATGCTGCTACCTAACACTGGTGGTTTAGGTAGCAGCATAGGCCTCTGGGATATCCAGCCACAGACCACGACATCTGAATTAGTATTTCCCTAAAAAGCAACAGAGCTCAGCTTCCACAGAGCAGGCTGCCTAATGTTGTGCCATCTTCATTGAAAACTGAAAAACAAACTTGAAAAATAAGAGATAAGAAAATGGAAAGCAGGACTAAGCATACAAAAAAGCGCAAAGAATTCTTTAAACAAGAATCAAGGCAAATGGTAACCTTTTCCCAAGTCACTGTAACTGATTCAAGTCGGGGAGAGAAGTGCAGCCTTATGCAATGATTTGAGAATCCTGATAGACAAAGCCAACACACTGACAACACACACAATAACTAAGTGGGCAAGGCAGTGCTTTTTACTGGGTCAGGAGCTCAGTTTGTGTATACACGTTCTGAAAATTCAGAACGATCTTTCAGGCTGCAGGAAGACATTGCACGATACCTCCGCTCCCAAATACGCCATTGTGCTAGTGTCTCATTAATGGTGCCCACATCAATCCCACACACCCAACAGGGTCATCCCTGAAACAGAGTGAGGTGCCCAAAGTATGAGGCTGTCTGCCAATTCAGATTCAGGTAGGTAGCCGTGTTGGTCTGACGCAGTCGTAATAAATGAAAAAATTGTCCGGTAGCACCTTAGTTGGTCTCTAAGGTAAAGGTAAAGGTACCCCTGCCCGTACGGGCCAGTCTTGACAGACTCTAGGGTTGTGCGCCCATCTCACTCTATAGGCCGGGAGCCAGCACTGTCCGCAGACACTTCCGGGTCACGTGGCCAGTGTGACGAAGCTACTCTGGCGAGCCAGCGCAGCACACAGAAACGCCGTTTACCCTCCCGCTAGTAAGCGGTCCCTATTTATCTACTTGCACCCGGGGGTGCTTTCGAACTGCTAGGTTGGCAGGCGCTGGGACCGAACGACGGGAGCGCACCCCGCCGCGGGGATTCGAACCGCCGACCATGCGATCGGCAAGTCCTAGGCGCTGAGGTTTAACCCACAGCGCCACCTGCGTCCCTGGTCTCTAAGGTACTACTGGACAATTTTTTAATTTATTTTGACTGCATCAGATCAACACGGCTACCTACCTGAATCTAGAACCATGGAAGGCACCACATTGAGTCGCATGAAATGGAACTTAGTGCTAAGTTGCTACTGGACAATTTTTTTATTTATGCCAATTCAGAGATAGCAAAGGTCACCCCAAATCTTGCATATGGCCCTCATGGTTACAGTATTGGCTGTCCCAGCCTTTCTATACGCCAGTAAACAGTGTTGAAATAAAACTATTTAGACCAGGAAAAGGGGAGAGCAACAGCCTAAATGGAAAAGGCCTTTGGGATGGATAGAGCAGTTAGCATTTCCATCCACAAAAAGAAACATCATGAGCTGAAATGGAAAGAGCTGAAGTGATCCTGCTGCACAAAAGGAGTATGAGCAGTGTATTTTCAAAAGGATTTATAGAAGTGGGGATGACGTCCTCATAATGCCAGTACAAGATGAGAACCCATCCTGGGTGCAATGGTCTGAGTCCCTCCGAGCTGCTTCCATCAAAGTCCAAACCAGGTGGGAACATCTGCTTCCCTGGGGTCGCCTTTCTGCCTCTGCCTCTCATCTTCCATAAATTTCTTCTGGGTATCTTCAAAAGAGCCGGGCTCAATGACTTCTTCTTTTTCTGGAAACAAGTCTGGAAACTGAAAAGTTTGTCCCGCAGCCTAAAGATAGAAAACAAATGCTTAATCTCATGTTCCGGTAGCAGCTACAACTCTTTCAACAGCTGTGGGAAGTTTCAGCTGGTCCAGAATGTTACTGCCAACCCCCAAAAGACTCAGCAGAGCTTGTAGGAAGTTAGATGTAGAATATTTTATCTTACCTTTACTCCAAAGAGCACAGGGTAGCATAAATCCCTCCCCCTTTTTAATTCTCACAGCAACCCTGCAAGACGGGCTGGTCACTCTGTTGGCCTAAGATCACCCAGTGTGCTTCATTGTTAAGTGGAGGTTTGAACCCATAACACCTCAGCCTTAGTCTGACACCCAAACGACCGCACCACACTGGCTCTCTCAGTGCCACTTACTACATAAATAACAGGCAGGCAAATATCCAGCACCGGTTCAATAATGACCCAGATGTCCATGCAGAAAACAGTGACTTAGGAAATATGGTGCAAGGGTGTGTGGTACCATTCAGGAAGCAGGTGGTCAGATCAAAAGATGCTCCTGCCTAGCCAAAAGATCAATTGCTGGAGAGAACATATTGAAAGACTGTATACATTTACAAAATTACATTTCTCGATTGCAGCAGGTGTGAGTGACAACACCAATCCAGCAGATGGTCTTGGGTTACCTCAGAACATTCTTCAACTCATTCTTTCCCCCCAGACTAATGTATCAAGAGAAGACAAATGCACCTCCATGTGGATAAAATTGCTGGGGGGCAAACAGCAGTTTTATGGGTACTTTCCCCCTTTAAGATAGATATAAAAGTGGTGGGGACAGAATCATCACTGAAGTGGATCAATTAGGGAAGATTTTCAGTGATCTTCTCAACCCTGGGTCTGGTAGCATTTGGTCCAGAAGTGTGTGTGTGTGTGTGTGTGTGTGTGTGTGTATCCGAGAGAGAGCATGCATTAAAGCACAGACCATGGCTATTGAGTGCCTCCATGTCTGCAGACCGAGGAAATGATATGCTAGACAAAACTGTGTAACGATAGGAAATAAAAAGTGATTCTTGAAATACATGCAATTCCTGAAATGTAGGATTACATTTACAGCAATCACTCCCCATAATGAAGAGAGTCCATGCCAGCACAGAGAGCGCTGCCACAGACTCAACGTCTCCCATTTGGAAAACAATCATCAGCTGACCTTTTCGCTTTTATTTAACAGCAGGAACCTATTATTCGAGGACAGCATTCTATTCCGTTGACATTATCTCTTTATTTTTCCATAGTGTATGCAGTGTTGACAACCTCATTAAAATCAACCCTGTCAGCTTTCCATTCAATTCAAGTAGAGAACTTGGTATAATAAAACTATCAGACAATAACGTCGCATAGAAAGAGGTGTTATAAAAATATTGTCTGGGGCTATTTTGAAACTGCTTTCCAAAATACCTTCACAGCTTTAGCCCACCCCTAAAGAACTTGGAAATCAACAGCATATAAAACTCAGAAGACATGAGCATTTTTGCTGCATTTCTACAAATCAAATTTTGCTTTGCAAGCTAACTGGGCTTTTGCCAATGATAGCGGTCTCATGCAATTATTTTGGAACTAGGCCCACAAGAAGGTGCAATTTTAGCTTTCTACATCTATGGCTTCTCACCCTACAGCACAGGTGACAGATCTTGGTCCCAATTTACAGAGATCCAGGCCTCAAAACAGAAGCACTACTATGTCATTCCAAGTTCTAACATAGGAAGTCAGACCCCTACATACGTAAGAGACCATTCCCACCACTGCATGCCATTGCCAAATGCAATTTCTCTATCCTGCACCTCTAATTCTGCCCTTTAGGAAAGATCCCAAAAACATTTTTGATAACTGTTCCAGAGGTCTACTGAAATCCAAGCTTGAACATTTTCCAGAAACAACACAAGAAAGAGAGAGAAAGGGCTTTTAACACCTGGGAGCATTTTGGTTGTGTGCTGTTGCTGTTCTAAAGAAACTAGAAAAACAAAATAAAGCAACAAAAATAACTCCAGTATAGACACCACGGGCAGCATCGGAAAGTCACCAAGCAACATTAGCATGGTTGCCACCTGTCCCTTACCCTTGCCTGCACAATGTCGTCATTGAGTGATGTTTCTACATATACCAGGGTTGGGGCTACTGCCAAGCTGAAAACTGAGAGGCCTTGTCTTAAGGTAGACATGGGACCTTCTGTTCTCAAAGGGCAAGGATATGGCCTGTGGGATGAGCCAAGGTGCTAGCCCTTGAACTTTTCTTCTGCACGCTCAACCCTAGTCACAGAGTTGGGAGGCTGAAAGTATGCTGCTCAGGGCAGATGTTTCCACGAAATGCTACATCTCTTTCCCATCCTCTTCATTTGTTTCAAGTAAGAAGGAATAGGGCAATGCTCAGACGTGATAGCAGAACTAGACAATACCCTTCCAGCTATCTAGGGAAAGTGCTCCCAGTTCCCAGTTCCAAGGCTGGTCAAAATCAAATATTGAGCAGAAGTCAATCTGTTTCTGGAACCTTTTAATAAATAGAAGTCAGTGCAGACAAGTTGGCTCTTTCCACCTCTTGTTTTGCCGAGAAATGCTGATCTTGGCCAGCGGCCAGATAGGATTTGAAACAGCCAAGACATTACATTGAACTCTCAGAACTGAAAGCCTTATAAATCCTCACAATACCATGCAGTAATTTTGCACTGGTCAGATTCCGGAGTGCTGAAAGCTTTATGAAAAATAGTTACTGTGCATGTTCAGTAGCTAGTTTAACTTGACCATTTTGTAACTTCAACTATATCCAGAGGAATAACTACACGCCGAGGGCTAAATATCCATACAGAAACCCTATATCTTTTGTCATAGCAAAGGCTGCAAGTGTAAAAGATGGTGGTTTATTACTCACTGAAAGTCAAATCTGAACTTTTGCCATATTTACAACCATTTGTTTAGGACCCATGGTCAAAATCTCTCAGCAGGGTCAATGGACATTTGCTATGGGTCTCGTTTAGCATAGGATTACAGCTATGGGAGCAATGAACCTTACAAACAAACCACTTTGCTCCAACCAGGGAAGGTGTACTATGATCTCAAAGACCCACACTCGTCAGACGGACTGCTGTGTTCTGAAGCAGCTGAAGCTTCCACAGAGCCATCCATGAAAATCTCGCCCTGAATTTCTGAAGGCATACATGACTGTAACGGGATCCAAACCGGGGACAGGGGAGAAGTGCCTTACTCCTTCTACCAGGTGAAGTTGTTTGCACTGTAATTTGATGAACAGTGACTCTCTGCAACAGAACCAGCAGGCTGCAAAAAAACAACCAAGAACACAGCTGGCATAGTTTGCACGACCCCCAAACCACATCACACGTGCCAGCTGTGAACTATTCGAAGCAACAAGCTTCAGAGTTTTTAGAAGGTTCCAAGACGATTATGCTAGCCACTAGGTCACACACCCTTCTCAAGTGATTTGGCATCAGCTAACCTGGTAAATGCACCCGCATATCTTGTATGCCTGAACCTCACTAACAGCAGGAGGCGAGGGAAGAAGGGCAGAGAGCAGCTGAGGTTCTCCAGGCACAGAAGCAGTTTCCATTTTGATATATAACCTGGTTCTAGTTTTTGAAGCATAAAAGGCAATCATTAGTTCTGCATCATAATCAAGGCTACAAAACGTTTTCTCCTCGGGAAGAAGGGAGAGAGCACACCAAGAACAGCCTGAAACTCCTGAAGGTGATATTGACCACAAGCACTAATTTGAGGTCATTTGCAGTGGGAGACAAATACCACCTGCACTGAACTATTCACTTGCCAAGTTCGGTGTGTGTGTGGGGAAAGAGTCCTCAATCTTCCAGACAACCTGGTCCTTGTGCATGCGAGTCAATTCTCTACTCTCGCCCGTACGGCTATGTGTTATATGATGTCTAACACATCAGGGTTTTCATCTTCCAACACTTGAAATGCAATGATTAATGTGTGCATATTATATTGCATAAGTTGCCCTGGAAACTAGAAGCTGATGACTTCCAGAGTAGGGAAATGTAACTGCTGCCTTCAAGACAAAACAATATTTCTCAGATGCGTAAGAATGCCAGCAACCAAAGACAAAGAATACAGGGAAGAATAATGCTGCCACCTACTGACTCTTTCAGGAGGCAAACATGAAGACCTTCCAAAACAGATGGCTTTCTGAAAGGATTACCCGGAACGTCTAAGAAACATGAACTTGTTTGAGCTTTGGACTTGTTTACACCAATCAAGGGGCGAAGCAGGGTTTGAAGCAAAGGAAGGAGGACGGAAAAGAACCTCGGAATGACCAAGGACTCCCTTCTTGTCTGTTTCATCCTGGACTAGCTCTTTGTGAAAACGATACCACATCACAAACCTAGGCAGGAAGCTAGAACATCCTAGCTCACCTTTGCAAACAGAGCCTAGGGGAGGGAGCTGATTTATGATGGCCACCACCTCAAATGCATCCATTTGAAAAGTCGTATGCTCTCCTCAAGTCATATAAATCAGGCCTTAGCAATGTTTTTCCTCCTACGTCATTCATGAGTAATATTATTTCTAATGTAATACTGAGTTACGCACAACTAAGCAAGAAAAACATAACAGGAGCCCTACAGGATTAGCCACTAATTAAAAACTAATGAGAAGTGGGTTTAAAAAAAATAGGACTATTGGTTCAAAGACTTCCCAGTCATGAGGAACTGAAGGTGTCATTGTTGAGGGCTACACGCTGAGGACACCAAATATTAAAAGAGAATGGCTACTAATATTGCCAGTAAGATTAAACGATTTCACTCTACAGCTGTCCTGTTCAAATGTGTGTTCTTCAGCTGCTGCAAAAAAAGTGAGAATCCAGTTGTGAGACTAGCAGAATAGACATGCCATTAGCATCACAGAGTCAACATTCTGAGTCCATGAACTTCTGCACTAAGAGAACAGTGAACATTGGGGATAAAAGCACTTTAAACAATTTCTCAGTCACCTTCTTGTAGCCCTCAGAACTGTAACATCCTGGCCCAGCCTCTCCCCTCAAGAATGTGAGATAAATATGTCAATAAATAAAAATTAATGAGAACCTACCCAAGTGACACTGATGCAAAAACCCCACATATACATTAAGTAAAAGAATGTAAGTCTACCCCCCCGCTCCGACCTTATACCGTGTACAACATTAATGTCTCACATCGAATATAACTGATTTATAGAAAAGACTATGTGACCTGAAAATAGAGACAATGAACGTATTTTTTTAATCCAATAAAATCTTTAATAAAAAGTAAATAATGATAATAATACTATTAGTTCTTAAAAGGGGAATAAATCAAATCAAAACAGGCAACTGAAAAAATGAGAATCTACCAAAAACTACACTGTGTAAATGAAGGACCATTATGCAGATCTGCCTAAATTGCATTAACTTTAATGATTTTTAAGATTTAGAATGTTTGGGCCCAGCCACTTGAGAAACTCATTTACTCACCAGCTGTACATAAGCAACTTTGTAATCAGGCTTCTTGATTCGTCGATTTCTGTGATCCCTCTGCTTCATTGAACCTGTTAAGCATATGAAGGCTTCACTTCACTTTCCACAAACTAGCAATTCCTCCCTTCCCTAATAAATGTTTTTTTTCAATTAGAGTCGGTTCTGATCTTTGGGGGAAATGAGTTTTGTAGTCTCACCAATGCCAAAGATGTAGCTTTACTGCCCATGATGCTGTTTTACACTGTAATCAACTTTCTATTTAACTGCATGAACTGCAGGTCATAGTAACACACACAGATAATTAATGCAAAGCATCAGTACATATTTTTTTTTTAAATCCACATATTATTTCACAGTACAAGAGAGAAACATTTTACTGAACTAAGAGAAGCATCCACATTGGCACAGTTCAAGTTCCTCAGCCTGACCTGTCAACCTCAGCATTATCTATGCACAGCAGAAAGTTGTTTCTAAAATGATGTAAGTATTTACAATTAATACAGAACCCAGAAAATATACACATTTGGAACAGTCTGAGCTAAATCTCCACACATTTATTATATTTCCTCAACCCCCCCCCCATTCTCTCTCCTCATGCACACGTACTAGTTTCCAGTGGTTTAGGATTCTATAAGGAGGATGGAAAGTTCATAGAAATCAAACTCCCAGTGGACTGTGCTCACAGACAATAAAGCACTCAGCATGGTTAGAAAGTTCAACGCAGTCTGTCTCATTTATTTGGCTAAGGGTGCTTTAGCAAACCTCACATTTTTGCCCTTTACTTATCCATCTCCTTTATATAGTCATTTTCTCTCTCTTATAAATTTGAAGCTCTTGCAATCCTGAGTCTCTACTGCCCTGTACTATACCAATGATATTCTTGAAGGAAAACCATACTCCAGACTTTCTTACAAAGGGGCTGGATTGAATTTGAGGACTGCATTTTCTTCCATTTAGATTTCCTGCCTTTCTTCTGCCACGGAGCTCACTGCAGCATGTTTGTGGTTCTGAAGGAGTCTCCCACCCAAGTACTGGTCAGATGCAGACCTGCTCAGCTTCAGCAAGATGGTGGGCCTTCATTCCATAACATTCCTAAGTCCTGGGATAGGTGGCAAAAATCAATTTTGGACAAATGCAAACATATTTTCCATGGTGTTTCCTTGTCCAGAATTGAGTTTGGTTTATGCCTTTGAACTTTATGAAGATGGACCTGAACACTCATTTGTTTCAGGGCCACCTTTCTCAAATTTTCAGCTTTGACCACAATCCCCCCAGAGGATGGCTGGATTATTAGTAAATTCTAAGGATTATATATGAATCATTAAGGATAGAGTGTAATCCACGTGTGATCCTCCCAGGAATAAGAAGACAGAGATGATAACAACATCAATACAGGAACTGTTTCAATTAGAAAGAAATATAATCTTGTTGTATTGGGCATCAATAATCAATAGCAAACAACTGCCTCTCCAAATAAGAGCGAATTAATTGGGAGGGAGGGAGGAATAAACTGAAAGAGTTCTGTTGGAAAACAGGACTCCAAATGCCCTCCAAACGTATACAGAAGACTCACCGTGCTGTATCCTGGTTCTTATAGCAGCCACAGGCACTTTATATATACTTTCAAGGTAATCCTTCAATTCCACTCTTGTCATTCTGCACCAAATGCAAACAATTACAACACAAAAAGAAACACTTCTAGCATATATATATTTTTTAAAACGGTAAAATAGCTACATAACAATCCATGTCTTTGGGAGAAATATATTTGGCAGGGGGGTGCAGGAGATGACTTTTATTAACACAAATCAAGAGGTTTTTTTAAAAACACCTGGAGATTAACCCAGACACAACAGAGCTACTGTTGGGTGTGGGTTCTAGTCACCCAGGAATAGCTGTTCAGCCTGTTATGGATGGAGCTGTGTTCTTCCTGAAGCAACAGGTCTGCAATTTGGATCCAACCCTGCTCATGAATGCTCAAGTGGCAGGGGTGGGCAAGAGTGCCTTTGTCTGATATGCCAACTGGGTCTTTTGCTGGAGAAACCAACCTATGCACTTGTCACCTCCAGGCTAGATGACTGAAATGCATTCTTTCGTTTGGTTCGTACATCAGCTAAGCCCAACCATGGCTTGACAATAAACACACAAACGTACAGGCTCTGTGTGAGGAGATCATGGCTGCATTGCTCTTCCACAGTTATTCTGTTGCTGCGCTGAGATAAACCATGGCTTGGCTTAGCATGCTCTCCAAAGCCAGGCTCATAATTTAACTTTCACCAGACTAATAAAGAGCTGTAATCAAGGTTTGTCCATGGTTTATGGCTCATGGCTTGTCCTGGAGAGCTAAGCTGGGCTCATACAGCCAAGGCTTAGCTCAACTCTGCCAAGCCCAGCGGGAGAACTAGGGAGGAACAAAGCAGCCCCCAGGATCCCGCAAATTCACATTATGTCATAGTTTGGATTAATGTGACATACAAGCCAGATCTATGTGAGCCTGTGCTTGAAGAGAGCCCAGACATTTCAACCTGTTTGGAATGCCACCACTGGATAGTGTCAAGGGAATTAACAGTACCACTCTATTCTGCCTTGGTCAGACCACACCTGGAATATTGTGTCCAATTCTGGGCACAATTTAAGAAGGATGTTGACAAGTTGGAACGTGTGCAGAGGAGGGCTACCAAGATGATCAAGGGTCTGGAAACTACCTTACCAGGAGCACTTGAAGGAGTTAACTATGCTTAGCCTGGGAAAAAAGGAGACTGAGAGGAGATATGATAGCCATCTTCAAATATCTAAAGGGCTGTCACATGGAAGAGGGAGCATACTTGTTTTCTCCTGCTCTGGAGGGTAGGACTCAAGGCAATGGATTCAAGTTACAAGAAAGGAAATTCCGACTAAACACTCGGAAAAACTTTCTGGCACTAAGAGCTGTTCAGCAGTGGAACAGACTCCCACAAGAGGTGGTGGACTCTCCTTCATTGGAGGTTTTTAAGCAGAGGTCGGATGGCCATCTGTCACAGACACTTCAACTGAGTATCCTGCATTGCAGGGGTTGGACTAGATGACCCTTGGATCCCGTCTATGATTCTAAGCCTTGTCTTTGTCCTTTGGACCCGGAACACTTGCAACATTCTGGGGAGATGTCTTCTTGAAGTGTTTCATTTTAACCCAATAAGCAGACGTTCCTTTCTTTGTATGTACTTACTCCATGGGGATGCGGAATTGCACAGTGTCTTCTGGCTGTGGAACACCAGGCCTCACCATTGTCAAGAAGTAATCTGTCCGGAAAACCCTTGTTTGAGGATTTCCATACTGGTACAGGGGATATCTATAGATGGAAGTAATAAATAATTCCATTGGGGGGACTGGAATTCTTAATACAAATTATTTCAAGTACATTTATTACAAGGAAGTGGGAATCATAAACTCGCCATCAAGCTATAAAAAGAATAAATCTGCTATGAAACTTTAGTTTTAAAGAACAAGCTGCTTCTTTTTCCTTATACCGTACTTTTTGCTCTATAAGACTCACTTTTTCCCTCCTAAAAAGTAAGGGGAAATGTGTGTGCGTCTTATGGAGCGAATGCAGGCTGCGCAGCTATCACAGAAGCCAGAACGGCAAGAGGGATTGCTGCTTTCACTGTGTAGTGATCCCTCTTGCTGTTCTGGCTTCTGAGATTGAGAATATTTTTTTTGTTTTTCTTCTCCAAAAACTAGGTGCGTCTTGTGGTCTGGTGCGTCTTATAGAGCGAAAAATACGATACATCTATCTAAGGAAAGGTGATCTAAATGAATTTATTCTATTCCAAGCAACTCCAACTAAACAAAGACGATACACAGCAAAAAGCCTGCATTTGCTTAATTTTAATCATATAACTGGATTTTCTATTTGATGACCTCCAAACAGTAGAGCACAGTGACAAAAATAGGGATACATTCCTTGAGCAACTCCCATCAGCGTGGCCAGGTATGGCGGGAGTTCCTAGAACTGTAGAGCTGGAAGAGACCGAGGGTCATCTAGTCCAACCCCCTGCAATGCAGGATTTATTGCGGGTCGATGGCGTCTGGAGGGCACCACGCCGGCTGCCGGCCTCCCTGCCTCTGCCTGCCCCGCTTCGCCCTCCGTGGCGTTTATGGAGGAGCCGCGCTTGGGACTCGACCCGGGGAGCCTCTCGCCCGCCGGAGGTCAGCGGGGGCAGCGCCTTCCGGGCTGCGCCACCACGGCCGCGAGGTTCTCGCTAAGCCCGGCAGCCCTTTCAAAAGAAGCGGGAGCCGCCGCCGCCAGAGTCGCACCCGGCACGGGGCGCAGAAGCGGAGCCAGAGGGAAACTCCCTCCCTCGCGATACCGGGCACTTACAGAATTCGCCGGGCCATGATTCCCGATCTCCTCCTCCGACGCGCTCCTCTCCCCCGGAAGGGGCGGGCACATCCTGCTGCGAGAGGGAGAGCGCATAGACGTAGGAACTTATAGAGCGGCGATGATGGCTGTTGTCCGGGGTGAATCTTGGCTCCTTTAGCCCCCTTTGTTCCCCTCCCCCTGCTGCAGGAGCGGGGGTTTCCAGCCTCAGTGCTCAGACATCCCTCCGGTTGCAGCAAAAGCCAGCCTGGTTCAGATCCCTTGGACTCTGTTCCCATGGGGTTACCCCGGAGCAGGCACGTACGAGTCTTCGTATTGGGCTGCACTACCAGCCCCAAACCAATGCTCAGCCGCATGCAGCTGCATTGCGTTTGGGATATCTAGAAACTATTGGGAGAGACGCGCTGCCTCATTTCAGTTACGTTAAAAAACTGAGGGGGGGGGTTCCTGTCATTTTCTGCGAGCGGAGCCCACTTCTCAGAAGGGACCCGGAAGTTTGATTGCTTATGGGCGTCGAAATTCAAATCTGCGGAGACGAGCAGCTCATCTTTGCTCTCGTTCCCTGTTAGTCTCAGTGAAAGGGCAGGAACGCCCCTCATTCAAAGAAACTGCACACGGCACCATATAGATTTGGAAGTAGAGTGGGTCCTACATATTGTATTGCGCGTACAGCTGCATTCAACTGAAATGCGAAAATGCACGTTGCGTGTCACGTAGTTCATTTTCTATCTCTATGGGCTCCCTCCGATTAAGCCCCTCTTTCTATGCGCGGATGATTTAAATTAGAAAGTCACTCTATCGCCCCCTGCAGGGCAGATAGGCTCGCTGCACCCATTTGACGCGGCGACCCTTGCTTGTTCCACAGAGCTACGGGTGGTGAGCAGGTGAAGGGTGACCTTTTGTGCATCTTCAACTGGAATTGGTGCGCTTTGGGGTTCATTTGAGAGAAGTGATGCTGACCTACTTCGCAGGTTCCTTATTAGCCTCCTTGAGATACTGCATGATAAGTGGATCCAAGATGGTGACAGGTGGGAGAGGCTTGTGAATATGCCGGAGTCAGTGGGACTCCCCTGTTCCTTATAGGCACATGAGACGGGCAGAGCATCTCCATCATGGTTCATAGCCATTGTCCTCTGTGAGTTTGAGAAGTCCTCTTTTAAAGCCACCCAAGTTGGTGGCCATCCCTGCCTCCTGTGGCAATGAGTTCCATATTTTAATTATGTGCTCTGTGAAGAGGAACTTTGCCTTAGGTGTCCTGAACCTTCCAACATTCAGCTTTGTTTAGAGCAGTGTTTCCCAACCGGTGTTCCGCGGCACACTAGTGTGCCGTGAGACCTTGCCTGGTGTGCCGTGGGAGGGAGGCGGGCGGCGAGAGGCGGGGCGGCGGCGGCATCTCCTGCTGGATGCAAATCCAAACATGGCGGGCGCCTCCCTCGCTCCTTTGTAGGCGGACCATTGAGAGAGAAAGAAAAGGAGGCGAAAGAGCGAGAGAAGGCGCCTGCGCGGAAAGAGGAGCGAGCAGTGCGCCTGCGCACCGCGGCGCCCGAGATCGCTTCTCCCCACCGCCCCTTGCTCCCCGCAGCCCCTTGCTTCAAAAGAGGTCCGGGGCAGCGGGAAGCGCAGCGCTTCTTCCCCGCTGCCCCGGACCTCTTTTGAAGCAAGGGGCTGCGGGGAGATCGCTTCTCCCGGTGCTCCGAAGCGGGGCGGGGGGGCGGGAACACCTGCCCCAGCCGCCCCGCTTCAGAGCGCTGCTCCGAAGCGGGGCGGGAACCTCGCACCCCGCCGCCAGGCATCGGAACGATGCCCCGATGCCGGGCGGTGGGGCGGGAACCTCTCACCCCGCCGCCGGGCATCGGAACGAGGTCCTGGACCTCTTCTGAAGGCAGGCGGGGGCAAAAGTCTTTGCTCCCCCCGCCTGCCTTCCCGGGACAGCGGAGACTTCTCCGCTGCCCCGGGCGATCTTAAAATGCTGGCGGGCGGGAGCGAAGCGTTCGCTGCCGACCCCCAGCATTTTAAAATCTCCTCGGGGCAGCGGAGACTTCGCTCCCGCCCGCCAGCATTTTAAAATCGCCCCGGGACAGCAGGGGCTTTTAAAATGCTGGCGGTCGGCAGAAAAGCCCTCCTGTCCCCGGAGCTTGCGGGGCGGGAGGTGGGAAGAAGGGCTTTTCTTCCCACCGCCAGCCTTCAGAACAGCCTTCTGAAGGCTGGCAGTGGGAAGAAAAGCCCTTGTTCCCCCCCCCCCAGCCTTCAGAAGAGGTCGGGGGACAGACTGTCCCCGGACCTGGTCTGAAGGCGGTTTCCCTAGGAACGCATTAATTGATTTTCAATGCATTCCTATGGGAAACCGTGCATCGCAAGACGAAAAACTCGCAAGACGAAGAGACTTGCGGAACGAATTAATTTCGTCTTGCGAGGCACCACTGTACTTTTTATATAGTCAATATAGGCACAGAGTTAAATTTTTTAACATTTTCTAATGGTGGTGTGCCTCGAGATTTTTTTCATGAAACAAGTGTGCCTTTGCCCAAAAAAGGTTGGGAAACACTGGTTTAGAGAACACTGTGCAGCTAAACAATCAACTGAGTGCATTCCTGTTCACAAGCTCCGTTTACGGACACGGCAAGGCAGTGAAGCCTGCGGACAATTTAGTCGGAACTCCCCTATCTCAACCTGTTCTTGTGGCTATTTGGAAAGTCAGTGGATTCAGCAAATAGTGATGTCTCCAAGCTATTTAGGAAGGGGGGAAAGCTCTCTTGATGCCTCACTATGATCAAGCAGAATGGCCAGCCTTTATTTGTTTATTTAGCAGAGCCAAAACTGAATGTATTTTCATGGCCATTCCCAAAGATCCTTGACAATATGCTTTGCATGCTGAACTTTAAAGGCCAGAGCTCCCTCACCCTATGGCCACATTCTGGAAAAGGACTTGTCCAGATGGTTTTCATTCAAATCTTGCAGGTCAGGAGAGTGCAGAGCCCAACTTGTCTCGGGTGGTCGTCTTATTGTACAGCATTTGTGTGGTGCTGCAGCCTGGAGGAAATTCCTATTTTCCAGGTGTACAAAACAGCTAGTTAAGGCACAGCAATGGGGTCCTGCTGGCTGAATCCAATGCTGTGTAGTTCTTGTCTGTGAATGTGACTGAGGGTGTTGATAAAGGAATGAGATTTTTTGTGGTTCCATCTTTCCAGCCAGCCACCTCTGCTTTATATTTTGGAACGTTGTTTGTTTGTGATACCTTCAGACACCTCTTCTAAATTTTTGCCTGATGGTTTGAGATTTCAAGGACCAGTTTTCATCTATGTTTGGATACAACTGGGCACTACTTTGAATCAAAATGGCAGACTGAACTTTTCAAAATTGCACTGATTTGAAACACAGATTTCAAAATTCACTGGTTCCCCTCCGCCCTTGTCTCTTAGAATTCCTGAACTATACTAGATATGAGGCTGCTAGTAAACAAATAATTACTTTTCCTTTATTGGCAAGTAGTTCTGTGGGGGTAAAGTGAAGGAAGCTGTGTACGGGATAGCAAATCATGTTAAGAGAAGCTGCAACCCTCAGCATACCTCTCCCCATTTCTTCTACAGCAAGGGCGGGAGATCCTATGGCCCTTCAGATTTTATTGGTCATGAGCTCCCATGAGACACGGGGATCATCCACACATCTGCTTGTCATGTGATTTCTAGGCAGGTCCATCTTTTGGCCCACCATTTCCCCTAGGAAAACCCCTGCTTACTGCTGAATTGGGGGGGGGGGGAGAATATCAGTCAGGTTTTCTGCAGAGTGACATTAGTTCCAATTCAGCTGTAACTGTGGAGTTTCCTGGACAAAAGAAAAACATTTTGGATCCTTGCCTATAAATCACAGGAAAAATGGAAATGTAGGTGAGCCCTCAAGTCAGCATGTCCGGTGACCAGATATGGTGGGAGTTGGAGTCCAGCAACATCTGAAAGGCCACAGGTTCCCCATCCCTGTCCTAGAGGCTCAATGCAACAAAGTTAACAGGGATTTAAGAAGAGTAGTCATAGTGGATAGCTAAGAAAACTCAGTGGAGTTACTTCTAAGTAAATATGCACAGGATTCAAGTATGACTTATACTGTGATACCTCCAGATGTTTGACTACAACTTCCATCATCCCTAGCCTCACTTATTGTGCCTGGCAGTGTTGTGGAGTCCAGAAACATCTGGAAGGCCTCAGGTTCCCCACTGCTGTTGTAGCCTTTGCTGGGTGTAAATCGGCACACATGTCATGGTCTGTGGCTAAATTCTACCAGCCGTCTGGGCCACTAAACATTCTGGTCCCAGGAGAGGGCAGGGGGGGGGATGCGTTCTAAGACAATCACAGAATGGAAGAAAATGAAGACGCTAGTCAGGAGTGTATGGCTGAAGTACATTATCGGTCACACTTTATTTACAAAACCAAGTGATTCATACACTGCAATCTACTGGGCAGTCAGTGTAGGGCTGGGATTGGGGAAATAAAAGGACACACACAGCAGGTCGTAGGAGGTGTCAGCAGGGAGTCATCTCCGTTCCAGGGCACTGGCTCTGGAAGATGTGGGAGCCCTTGAAATAAGCAGTAGGCAATCCAGGCTGATGTTGCAACTATGGTTTTGCTCAGGCGAGGGAACGGAATTTGTGTTTAAAGAGGAAAGGGGAGGCCAGCGATCTTTAGCCATGCCACCGCTGAAGATTCTGCCTGCAGGCACCTTCCGGAACTTTACTTCCAGCGCCCTCCAACTTTGCCCTTGGCTCCGGCCTTCTTGCTGCTGTAATACAGATACGAGAAAAACACGTCAGCGCGCCAGCCACAGCCACATCCTTTACCAACCCTTCAGTGGGCGAGTCACTCAACATTTCTCGTCACCAGAACAGGCCTGATCCATGTCCCTTTAACTGGGTACATCAGCATTAAAGTGCATGAAATACGTTTTATCATTGAACCAAGGAGTGGCCAGCTGACCATCTATGGGTATGAGCTGGCCTCAGAAGCAAATTTATCTCACCCCATGTGGTTAAAAAAAAGTGACAACAGGCCCCCAGTTTCAGATTTTCCAGAAATGAAAATTGCATTACACCTCTGGATTTCATACAGCCATTGCTAAGCACATGTAGCCCACAGCTGTGAAGCTCTTGTAGCTAGGTAGTGCCAGGTTTATTATGTAGTCAGGTGACTTATGAAAGGGCAATGCTGACAGTAAAATACACTTCCAGCTCCTGGACCACTGTGTCACAAAAAAGTGGTCCCCGGGAATGTAGAAGTTACCCATTCTTGACTTAAACCATTAATGATAACAATGTGCAGAAATGCTTACTACTTATTTGATGAACCATGGCAGTTCACAAAAATACTTTTTCTTCAGAATTGCACAAATGCCTTTAAACTTTACTGGAACGAATCACCTATTCTCTCCCCCCCACCCCCCAGGATCCAGGAAACAAGGAGATAGTCCCGGAGTTCTCCCCTGTGGTGGTTCAAATGATTTCCAAATTTCTTTATTTCGCAAGCAGATAAAACAGCACCCAAAACATGCACAGCACTTACCTTTCTGCCATGAGCTAGGTCTAGTTCCAGGTGAGTGAGTTAGTCTAGTGTTAGAGTCTCCGCACTGTGGCAACAGCAGATCCCTCTTGCAATGCTTGTTCATTGCTTACTCCTGACCTTCCCATGCACATCCTGATAAGGCTCCTTCCTGAAGTTACTGAACAGTTTGCACACTATTTATAGCTGGATGGTACTGCAAGTTGCCCAGCAAACCATCCTGGATTAGCAGCCAGGGACTGCCTGGAATAAAGGTTCCTTAGGAAACTTCCAGTACTGACTTAACCATGGAAGGTATTCAGATGCAACAGCAACAAGGAGTATCTTTTGAATGCTTACATGGCTGCTACCAAGACCAGTGGATTTGTTCAGCAGTAGGTTCACCTATGGGAGGATCTGCCACAGTGACATACATGCATATACACACACGGAGAAGACAGAGTGCATACTTTACCTGTCATTTAATGCAGGTGGACACTCTATTCTGAAATTAAACCTTATACATGAGAGACAAGGGGCTGCCAAGTGCTTTCTCAGACAATAGAGACTGGCATCCTATCACTGACATCTCCACCTGCACTGCCCATATAGCAAACATGGCTTATGAGGATGATGGCACTGCATTGTTGCAGCAGGTCTTGTTAGGAGTGCTGCTTTGCAAAAGCTTCAGATCAGCTCAAGAACTTCTGGATCCATCTCAATGGCTAATCTGTTGCCATTGTTATCACTGGGTCCCAATTTATACTGAAATACAGCATGAAGCCCTGAGACTTTGCTTTAGAATTTTCAAATATTCCTTCTTCTTTTTTTAAGTGTTCTGATTTAACAATAAAGAGCCACTTCTTACTTTAGAATGCCACACCTTCCGAAGCAAATTATTTTAAAGTTCAATTCAAATTTGACATCTGGACCACACAAGTCCGCTCAAATGTAATATGCTGCTGATACTTTTCTTACCTTGTCTGAAATTGACATTGTTTATTCATTAATATGAGATGCTTCAGCATGAGGCAAGTGGCACCAGCACTTAATACTTGGTTTTTTATCATTTGGAATGACACAGATTGACTTCAGACAAACAAAAATCTGATCTGTCATTAATTCCATTCTGCATAAGGAGACATGCCTTTTTGGCTGTTTTCCTTTCCTCAGTGTAGACTATACTGAGCTTAATGGACCAATGGCCTGAATCTATGTAAGGCCGCTTCCTATCTTCATCCTGTGTTCCAGTATAGACTTGTATACGAAGAACAAGCAAGCACAGAGTTGCTCCTTTCTTCCACGCTTCCCCCAACTACCCATTCCCAATCTTTGACAACTTCCCCTCCCAGTGGCCTTCATCTCTGATGCATTCGGTTTCTTAGTGGACACATGCAACAAAGAAGACACAGACAAAACAAGCAGGAAGGGATTTGAATTAGGTAGGAGGAAGGGGAAATTTTAAAGGGTCAGGTGACCAGTTCAAAAGAACCCGTTGGTGGCCCATGGTGTCCATGTGGTACCAGCAAACGTGGAGGAGATTAGTGTTATTACATCCTGTTCCTTGCAGTGTCAGAAAGCACAAAGGAACTGCAACACAGCCCCAGGTGAGCTTTGCTGAGATTGCAGGAAAAGGGGTGGGTTCTTTCGCATGGTAAGATTCACTTCAGTTTCGCCAATCTTTACTATAGGGAAGGGAGAGGGGTGGAATTTGTCATTCCTGCTTCTCCCCCTCTCCCCAATCCCCCTCGCAGCAGAAAAGAAGGGCAGCAAGACTGAAGTGACCGCTGACAAGCGTTGAGAGCAGATTTTTCTGTACTTTGGGCTGGGAGAGGGAGACAAGGAGGTTACTCACTGCTTCTGGGCCTGATCAATCCGGTTCCTGAGGGTGGTGATCTGCAAACAACATATGTGACGAGGTTTTTAAAAGTGATCTCGCTTCCCATAGTGGAGGGAAGGTGGGTGGTTGTTACCTGGCAGCAGGGCTGCTGCATGTAGATAGGGTGGGATCCTAAAGTCTTCCCTTTGGGATGAAAAGCTTTGAGACAAAGACATTGCTAACCGGCAGTAAACTTACCAGAAAAGTTGTTAAATGTTTATAACGGCACCCCAGTGAGCAAGAAATGCTGTTAAAGTGTTTATCCAGGTTTATTTCAAGGAACCTGACTACATTATGGTTGGTCAAATCGTGGCAAGAAAACAAGAACAGGAAGATCAAAATTGACCTTTCTTGGGAACTCTGGAGAGTTTGAAAGCTTTTATTTTAATACAGGCATTATGATGCTGTTCCTGAAGTGAGCTGTCTATGTATGTGTTATATCATCCCCTTTTCCCCTGCCCATCTTCACAGTTCAGTTGCAGCCTCTTCCCCAGCCCATAAACATTGCTGGAGATTTACCAGCCAGTTAGCAAACATTGATTTGGAACACAGAGAATGACCTGTGTTGAAGAGGAGCTGGAAATGGATGGACTCCAAAGCTGGAAGTTTAACCAGTTCAGTTTGCTCAGCTTAACTCTGACGCTTCTCCTGGGAGCTGCCACATTGGAAGCACAAAGCCCACATCGGCCTCCACCCTACAGGACTCAAAGGAACCTTTAAAAGGAGGGAGGAGAAACTACGGTGCTCCCATAAACTTATGGCAATGGAAGTTTTCCTATGCATAAATGAAAAGATAAAAACTGCCAGTGTCAATTGTAGGAAGCCATCTGCTACATAACCAAGACTGTGACATCCCCTTCATGTTACCACAGCAGCAGCACAACTGCTTCTACATGGTAAGAAGGGCAATGGCTGGGACATATCATGGAACATATGATTGGCTCCAAACATTACTGTGCTACCGCATGGAAAGAAGCCAATGCACAGAAAAAGGCTATTATGCTCCTCTGCCACATGTGAGGGGGTCCCACAGAAATGTACACAAATCTGAGTCTTGTGCATCCTCACCAGATGCACCACTTGTCATCAAGTAATCCACTTGATGCTATGCTCCACATTGTTAGCCAAAGTAAGAGCTCCCAAAGGGTAAAGGAAGGAAATATCAGAAATAGGCATCAACCACAGACATTTGAAATCAGCTCCCAGGCTCTGATAATTTCTGTGGTTGTCTCATTTTTTATTGGAGGGGTGCTATGTTTTGAGTTGTGACAGAAGTCAGGGGAAAAAAAATATAATTAATTGTGTGCTTGGTTAATGAGCCTTTCCTATAATTCCAGTTACTCTGGTCGCCATGTGGCATAGGTTCCTCAGCCCCTAAGAAATAAGGTGAGAAAACAAGACAATTGTCCTATTAGACCCTGGCAAATTCAGCATAGTTAAAATTCTTCATTAGCCTTATTTATATTATTCTCAGGAGTCCTTGAATAGGTCACCCAGCAATATTATTTCTTGTCCTTTGAAACACACTTTAAACCAATGCAAGAGTTCACGTTTCATCCTTGTCCACCATTTTGGATTTTGTTGTCCACCATCTTGGATTTCCATGGCAAGCAGAAGCAAAGAGACTCTTATCACCAGAAGCAACGGAACGACATGAAAAGAAAAAACTTGGCCACCGGATATACTTACTTTGCAGGCAAAATCTGCCTTGTGGAACTCCCTAATGGCTCTTGGATTGCCCTCTTAAACCAGGTATTTGTTAAGGAACCAACTTCGCTTTGCTCACCAGCCTAGCCTCAGGGTTTAGGACTTACCTTCATTGCTAAACCTGCAGTAAGCTGAAGACAGCAGGCATGGCACTCAGTCTCCTGGGAAGAAAAGAATCGGCAAGCTACAGGCAAGCACTGAACAGCAACTTGGCTTGCTGTTCCTCTAACAAGAATGCTTTCTTTCCATTCTTCCTTCCTTTTGTGCTAATTTTGTCTTTTCTTTTGTATGAATTTTGTCCTGCTGCCTTGCTTATTTCCCTTCTATTATAGACTCGCCTACCTGCCCCTGCCCCCTACCTAGTTCCTGTGTTAAAAACAATTGTCCCTTTTCTATTTCTAATTCAAGCATTAAAATGTCATAAGAACTAGCTTGCTGGATCTAGATCAAGCTCCACCCTATCCAACATGCTGTTCCCACCAGGAGCCAGAGAGATGCCACTGGGAAGCTCACAAGCAGAGCAAGGAGAGGATGGCCACCCCGCATTAAAATTGTCTCTCTGGCTCTGCACACAGTCACAGTTCTGGATTCTCTGTAGGACATGGCCAAACTTATAAGAATCTCCCTAACCAGCCACTGCTTCTCACCGATCTCCCCATGGAATACACCCCATGGATTAATCTGAGGACTGCAGCTCAGATCCTATAGAAATAATTCTATTGAAAGAGGCTGACATCGTATTTCTGTGGTTGTGTTCTATGAAGCTTGAGATAACCACCGGATTCAAGAATTCCCTGCCGATCCTGCCCTTCATTCCCAGTCCCCCTGTTTTGCTGCCATCATCCAGTTAACCTACAAGATGCCTGAATCCAGAGGTCCAGAGGCACAACCACTATATTCTGCAGTGTGTGACCCTGCACCCGTATTCATCCGCTTAACCTGTTCTGAGAGCGAATGGAAGGAAAGAACAGCGCCATGTCCAATGCTCAGCTTCTTGCTCTCTGTGCCAGGAACTGAGTGCCAGCCTCTTGTCCTGCGTGAACCTGGAGCACCCGGACTCTGGGCATGCAGGAGGCTCATGCACGCAAAACAGCCTTTTTTTGGCTGCTTTTGTCATGTGGGCAAACTCTTTGTACTTACAACTTGGACAGTGCCTCCACCCTGCAACGTAGTGATAAAATCTAAGAGAGATCGAGATAATTATATTGGCTTTGGGGTCCTTTTCAAATCCAGATGTTTGCAGTATGTACTCAGAAAGAGGTAAATAGTCCCGAATAACACATTAAAAATCTCTGCTTTATATCGTATCTTGTAAGCAAAATGCAAAGGATTGCATTAATATTCTAGCACAAGGCAAATGCTTTAACAGGGAGTCCATCAACAGATACCCTATTCTTATATACCATCAAAGAACTGAGTCCAAGCACAATGGGGCAGATTTTGCACATCGGTCAAGTTCCGTCCTCCCCCAGCACAACTAGTTGTCCTCTCTTTCTAGGTTTCAGCTTTCGTACATGTATAAGGAGGGTACCACCTGTACAGTATGCATAGGCCTGGCAACGTGCGATTGGACTGCAGGTTCTTTAGCTTTTTGCACACTAGATTTTACACAAATACAGAGTGGTTTCTCTTATCACATGGCAGGAGAGCAGGGGCTATGCTCACATTTCGTAGAGAAATTTGGAATATTTCCATGTTCCCATCCAATGTGATCATTCACACACACACGGGTTTGTTTTTTCAAAATAAAAAATACGGCAGGTGTCATGTAGGGTTAGGAAGACAAAAGAAGACATGTTGCTGGTTTCTCTGTCTACATGAGTACAAGTGAGGGAGGTGACATGATCCATGGGTGAAAGAAGCAGGTGACATCAGAACAGAGTTCAGCATTAGAATACACCTCAATATTTCAATCCAGTGCTGAAAAGTGCTGACAGACCTATAGAGATAATAGGGTACCTCTCTTGGTTTCTGTGATGGAAAATAAAACCATGAAATTAGTCATTCTACTCTTCAAGGCACTTTATGATGGAGACAGGTAAATTCATGGATTGGGCTAAAAACGCTTTTCATGCTCTCCTTCCAGGCAAATCATAAAGGCATAAGTTCTCTTCTCCTGCTAGAAAACCAAAACCCACTCTGGGCGAATAGTTTCAGAGTCAAATGAAATGTAAATCCCATTGATAAGCCTTCAGAGTGGTATTTTAAGGTCCACACACTACGCTTCTCCCAGGAGAATTGCAACCCTTTTCCACTTAGGCATTGGACGTAAGCAGAATGATAACCAAGATCTCATTTTCTACTCACATCATATTTCTGTCTCTTGATCTTCTCTAAATACTCATACTTCTCCGTTTCCAACTGATATAACCAGTCCCACATCTCCTTGGCTTTTTCCCTGTGAATTGAGGAGGAGGAGGAGGAGGAGGAGGAGAGAAGAAGAAGAAGAAGAAGAAGAAGAAGAAAGGGGATAACAGTTGAAGTTCCCATAGCACATCTTCCGTAGATATGAAATATGAAATACTTTATTGTCACTTGTACAACTTGTATACAGTGAGATTACACAGATCCCAAAGAACTAGTAGCCATAAGGCAAAGTTTTAAGCAGCATGCTAGCTGGTGTTGTTGGGAGTTGTAGTCCAAAACACCTAGAGGGCACCAGGCTGGCAAAGGTAAAGCGCCATCTTGTTTATACAAATATGGCACTTTTGAGATTTTATTAACCTGTAGTAGTTCACATAAACTAAAAGAACAAAACTAGGACAACAATGATATGCTTGAGCAATACTACGAGCATGGGTTATTAAAGGGTGTTTATATCAATAAGAATATAATAGGGCATGGGTGGCGCTGTGGTCTAAACTACTGAGCCTCTTCAGCTTGGCGATCAGAAGGTCGGTGGTTTGAATCCATGTGACAGGGTGAGCTCCTGTTGCTCTGTCCCAGCTCCTGCCAACCTAGCAGTTCGAAGCACACCAGTGCAAGTAGATAAATATGTACCACTGTGGCGGGAAGGTAAATGGCATTTCCATGTGCTCTGGCTTCTGTCACGGTGTTCTGTTGTGCCAAAAGTGGTTTAGTCATGCTGGCCACATGACCCGGAAAGCTGTCTGTGGACAAACGCCAGCTCCCTTGGCCTGAAGTGAGATGAGAGGTGCACCCCATAGTTGCCTTTGACTGGACTTAACCATCTGGGGTCCTTTACCTGCCTTTACCTTACCACCAACCCTGGTTGCCCCCTTGCTTTTCTGGGTTGTGCAGCTGTGGTTTCTGGGTTCTGATGGCAGGGCTCTCCCCGCCCCTGCCATGGGAGATCTCGCAATAATCCGGAAGCTTAAAATGCCCTCCCTAGTAGGTGTATGAACATTATTAGCATTCAGGAGGAATTGAAAAGCGTTCCTTTTCCTTTTGACAACCTTGCAATTATGGAATGTGCAGGCATGTGACTGTTTCTAGATGTTTGTAATGTATTTCAATATTTATTTTATATTAACTGGATTTAATTGAATTGTTTTAGTACTTGGTTGTTTGCTGAGCTCCTTTGCAAGGAAGGACAGGATCAAAACTGAATGAATGAATGATAAATACACTTGACTCCTTCCATTTTGTACAACTCCATTTTACCTCAGCTTGTCCTCACTAAGATGGTCAATGTTTAGAGGTTTGCGCCTCTCTGCCAGGACCTTCTTCTTCAACTCTCTTGCAGTTTGTTTCTTTCCTCTCTTTTGATCAGCCTGTGGGGGGGAAAAACCCAAACACTTTCAGTATATCACAGGATGCATGTAGGTAGGAATTCCTGTGCCTTTATTGCCCAGTTCTGCCTCCAGCTCTGTCCTTTGCTCGTGACTAACTCCTGGATTGATTCTTGATCCTGCCTCCTGGTTTGACCTCCAGTTCTGGTTTGCTCTTTGGCTATTGGCTGCAGGCCTAGTATCAGCCCCTGGCACTGTGGGGCAAGTGCTGGGGCCCATGCCAAGGCCTTAGGACCCAGTGGGGCTGATGTCAAGCAAAACTAAGTTGCTGGCATTTGTACAGGAGAAAACCAAAGCCCAAGTGTCTCTGCGTGGATCCTGAAGCTCCCTTGGCTTCCCTTGAAAGTAGAAGAGCTTTTCAGAGGTCTTGCCATTGTGTGGTTAGAGAATTCCTAGCAACTGATGAGACCCACCCATGAGATACAGGGAACACTTAACCAGAGGGTTTTTCAGATGAGCGTCGTTACGCTTGTGTGCCATTTGCCACATTTTCATTCCCTCAAGTCAAGCAGTGGATGTACCTTAGCCAAATAGCTGCTGTATGTGGCACCCATGGAGGACAGAGCCTTCTTCTTCTTCATGTCATCCTCAGCCCTTCTCTTGGCATCTTCCTCCTCTCTTCTTGCCTTCTCCTCCTACGAAGGGACAAGAGGAAAATAGCCAGCATCAGACTTGGGGAGCATAAGTGCAGAACAAGGAGTTTTTGGAATGGCCATGGTAGATTGTGGGATGGAACCAAAAGGAGACCAGGAGCAGTAGACTGCAGAATGGAGCAAAAAGTATTAGAATAACTCTGCCAGAAGAAGTTGCTTGATTGCTCTGTCTCTCTATGCCCTTTTAAAATGTGGGGTTTGAGGGGGAGGGGGTTATTGGGTTGTTATTTTGATTATGTGTTTTGTGATTTTATATCTTGATTTTATTCTGTCAACCACCTTGAGACCTCTGGGTATAGGATTCAATAAGCAACAACAACAATAACAAGAACAACAACTCACAGCAAGCCTGGCCTGACGCTCCTTTTCCTTTTCAGCCCGGATTCTTTGCTGTTCAGCCCTTTCCGCTCTACGTTTCTCCTGTTCATTTCATGCAAAAAAAGAGGAAGAAATTAGATGTTTCATTGTGACTCTTTATGTGCTGTTGGCTGGAACAACATTTGACAGAAGAAACTTCCCTCAGAGTGAAACAGTCCAAACTGGTTCAACAGTGATCCCATACAGATAGCCAAAATATCCCTAGAGGAGGTCCCTACACCTAGGGTGTAGGTAAATTGTTGTATGTCTTCTAAAACACTTGTATTTAAGCCGATCAAAGGATAAAGCAGTACCTCTGCTGCAGACGACAGTAGAGACTACAATGCCCATTTGGATTGTGGATTTTATGTCATGTGGTTTTTTTTCAGATGAGAAAATAGCATAAGGATCAAATTCCCCCTCACTCAAAATAACAATAATGTTATTAGAAGCTCATTCGGATGGTATCCCTTCCACCTAAACAAAAAGGTGCAATTATACTTAGATAAAAAAGTGTTAGCTCTTAAAAATTCACTCCTTTGTGTTACAGAGTAGGGATGGTTCATTAGGTTGTACTCAAGGCCAGCCTCACTGAAATCAATAGACTTAAATAAGTAATGTTAATTGATTTCAATGGTTCTACTCTCAGTTGGATGTAACCATTAAGTATTGTGTCTCTATTAAAACTAAATTGTGGGACTCTTGAGCAGCAGTACACTGTCCTCTTGGAGAAGAAATTATTGTGGAGACCACACCAGTGAGACTTACAATTCTTTCTTTAAGGGCTAGGATTTCCTCTTCTTCCTTCTTCCGAGCTTCAAAGTGGCTATCAATCAAGGCTTGAAGCTCAATCAAGTCTTTGTTCTGCCTCTTCTTTTGGATGTCCTGGAGTAAGAAAAAGAAGATGGAATGATGGCTATGATGCAAACAGTGACAATGGAATGATTTGGATTATTTGGGTTTTCCCACTCAAAGAATCCTTCCACATCCCCACTAATTAAAACCCCAAACACTCAATTACCTCTCAGGATTAGGAATATGTTTTTAGGATTGAGGTGAAGGTCCTGTTTTTAACCCTCTTGTCTAAAATATAATGAAAATTTACAGGAGTCAATAGTGTTGAAAGGAGCCAACAATACTTACATCAAAGTCTACTTTCTCCCCCTCTGGGATTTTAGGAGCAGTCAGCCTTTGGAGAAAGAGAAAGTAAGGCATATAAACATCAAAGGTAAACATTCTAAGGAGAGGTATGCTATTCGAAAGAACTATTCAGAAGAAAATGTAACTGAAATTAAGGTTGTATGAACACTAATTGGGAAAGCTTAAGTACAATGACAACTTAGAGCTGAGGTGTCAAACTAAAAAATGTTGATGGACCAATTTCACCTCCTAACAAATGTCCAACGGCAGCACTCTCTCAAATCTTTCTGGGCTACAAAATGTCAGTTCCACCTGATTTCAACACCAAGTGATCTACTGCATTTCAATTACAAGTTACCGGTAAGTTGAAAATATTGTTCCTTCAGATCTGATAAAATATCTATCCTTTAAAGATTGCAGCATAACTACAATAATCATGACATATTTGGACTTTTTTGGTCTACTAAGAGTGCTGGCACCATAGAGATGTGCATGGATCAGTTTGGATGAAGTATGACAGAGATGCTGCAGGCTGGATTAGAGATCCCAAAAAGGCTAGATTAAGCCCTTAATCATTATGTTGGACACTCCTGCTTTACAGAACAATTGATTTACTGTGTCAATCTTTGTATGCAACAGAGAAATACTAGTTATTCTATATGTAAACACATGCTACTATAAACCAGCTAGTATCTAAGCCAGGTTAGGGAACCTGTGGCCCTCCTGATACTGCTGAACCACAACTCCCATCATCCCTGGGTGGCGATGATGGAAGTTCAACAGCATCTGAAGGGCCACTGGTTCACAGCCACCACTCTTAAGAAATCACCGACTTCCTCTCAGTCAAAGGTCATCTGCTTTAATGCATGCCACTCATTCCCTAGCCCCAATACTCACATCCTTAATATGCATTGATGGCATTGCCACTACTGTACATAACACCACAATCCCTTTCTAACTCCCACTGCTCCATGCCCCCTTTTTATCCCTTGCCCTGCGTTGTCCTCCTTACCTTCTTCTAGGCTTCAATACACCTGGAATATCCTTCCTTCTCTGTCCTTCCACCCTTCTCCCTCTCCTCCTTTCAATCCCTTCTCAAAGTTTGTCTTTACCATAAATGTTTCCTGGACCAGTGCACTCTACTTTGCACTGTACATGACTAGTTAATCCCCAAGTACCCCATCAGCGCCACCATCACAGTTTCTTTATCTAACTCTGGCTTTGTTCCTCTTCTTTCTTCATTCCATGCCACTCCAAACATGAACTGTGGCACTATACCCTGTTGAGGGCATAGCACACAGTTGGTAACAGAAGAGTGGCTTTGGACATTCTAAATCAGGGTAGAGAACCTATGGTCCTCCAGATGTTGCTGACTTCCGGCCGTGCCGTGCCAGCTGGAGCTGATGAGAGCTGAGTCCAACAACAGCTGAGGGGCCACAAGGTCCCCATGTTCTAAATAAGTGCAACCAGTTGGATGCACATTTCTGCATTCAGTTGGCAGAACGTCCCTGCCATATTCCAAGAAGATCTTCACATTTCGTCACAAGGGAAAGAGAAGTTCAGCCAGCTAAATATGAAAGTCACTGCACATCTAGTTGAATCCAACTTCAAGTTTTAACATGATTATTTAAAACAAGCGGTATTTTCAATATCTGGAAGTGCACACTTACGGTGGTACAACTCTGGGCTTCTTCTCTAAATAGAGCAATCCAGGAAGAAAAGAGAAAGCAAGGAAAGGAAAGATGGAGAAAGACAATATTAGAACAACAATATATCCTAGTCTGGTCTGCTAAAACAAAAGAATCAAAAGGGATGTCCATTCTCATGGAATCATCCCAAGGGCACTTGAATCACATCTTTGACACTTCATAGAGACACACTCCTTGGCAGACCAGTTTTACTTGGAAGTAAAACAGCATAGAAAAACGAAACAAGAGCTTGCATGAAAGCTCCAACATAGCATCAGGAAGTCAGCAACTTCCTTCTCCACATTGAGTGCTGATTCTCGAAACTTGAATGTCTTTTATGACCACATGCTATGTATGAATTCAAAGAATTCTGTCATACAATGCTCTTTCTGTGCCACCTTTGTCACTTTTGCAGTGAGATTTCAGCAATAAAAAGCTCAGAGCCTATTTGGTCAGTGTATCATGAATGCAGACTTATTTGAGGAACTCCAAACATTCAGATTCTGAATTTACAAGGCAAATAATATGAAGAATCAAGTTTAAAATGTCACCCCCTCAGCTGAAGCAGGGCTATTTGTTTTTACAGCAATAATGTTTAGGTAAAATAAACTGTGAAGCAAGACTCTTCTTTTCCCCACCTTCCAACTCACAGCAAGGTTTTAAAGTATCAGCCTTAAATGGAGATATTGTAAATTTCTGCTTTGGAAAGTGATAAGGCTGGAAAAGAATTGCCTGGGCTTTTTCTAAGCCAGTAAAGTAAAAAACATTGGGTATTGCTGATTATTTCAGCACTGGAACTATCCAAATCTTCTTCTTCTTAACCCATCCTTTAGCTCCTCCAACCTAGCAGTTCGAAAGCACGACAAAGCACAAGTAGATAAATAGGTACTGCCACAGCGGGAAGGTAAACGGCGTTTCTGTGCCCTGCTCTGGTTCACCAGAAGCGGCTTAGTCATGCTGGCCACATGACCCAAAAGCTGTACGCCGGCTCCCTCGGCCAGTAAAGCGAGATGAGCGCCACAACCCCAGAGTCGTCCGCAACTGGACCTAACGGTCAGGGGTCCCTTTACCTTTACTGCTACATAAAATGTGAATAGGAGGATGTTCTCAGTGAAGTTGATATATGAGAAGTGTAATTTAGAGGCCTTTATATTTCTCATGTGGTAAGCAGTGAGCTTTTTGATCTGAAATAGCTTTTTTTAAAACCTAGGGAATAGAATACAAATCACACCAAACAATATTTCATGGATGTTATTCAGAGATCCACTAAGTTCTGTTTGCCTCAACTCCTTTACATCAGGAGTGGGGAACTTGTGACCTTCCAGATCTTGCTAGACTATTACTCCCATCATTCCTGACCACTACCCAGGCTGACTGCAACTAATAGGAATTGGGATCCAAAAACATCTGGAGGGTCAATGGTTCCTCATTCCTTCCTTGTGCCATATATATTCCTATTTCACCATATCTGAACAGATTACAAGAATGTCATCACATATTTATATTTTTATTGTTCATCTGTTCCTCACAACTGGCTTTGAAATACATGTGCCATTGGCCAATATAACCACCCCACGTGATATCCAACTAAGCCAAACTCAGAGAAGATCTACTGAAATCAATGGGCTTTCGTTTCTGAAGTCCATTCTTCCCTGAGTATGCCTAAAGTGGAATATCACCCCATAGGTCTGAGCATCTGTTGATTATACAGGAATAATTCCATGAACATGTAGTTTTAAAAAGGTTAGTTTTCTGATCTTGGAATAAAAAGTAACATTTCTGTACTTTCAGGATAAGGGTAAAACAAAAAACAAAAAGTCTATTCTACTTTCTTTCTTTTTAATTAACAGAAAACACGTGACAAAACAAGATGTAGTGTGTGCACAGAGACTAGTCTCAAGGTTACTGTTGTATCTTCAAGATAGCATTTCTTCTTCTTCTTTAAGGAACTGGATAAAACAAACAAGCCCAATCATCATGGCAAAACCCTTTCTTCAATTGCCCCTCACTTTATCTGAGGTTCGGATTGTTCTGGTTCTTACAAACAAGAGATACAAGGCATAAATCCCTAAAATGATCCTGCCAAAGGAAAAAGAGTCCTTCAGTGCTCTGCTTGAAAATAAAGAGAAAGAAAGCTGGAAAGTAAGCATGAGGTTTTAAAAGGGGAGAGGGAATTGAAGTAATCTCATGTAAAGAACAGTTTACACTCTCCCTTCAGAATCTGAAATCTAGAAAGGATCAAAACACATCAGTAAGGAATGTTGTTGTTCTGTCCCAAGGTCCTTTTTGGTCTCTACTCTAAAACCTCAAATCACTATGAGAAGACCCCATTAATGGCCTGAATGGGGGCCAAACTGTGGGGGATTTCATCCTAAAGTAAATCCCTTCAGAAGAGGAATTTTTTCTAAGGACCACAGCAGGAGAGGAAAGGATTAAATTCCCCTCCTCATCTACTGCAATCCTGATAATTGTCTGACTGCCACCAGATGCTATTGATTTTTTAATATATTTTTTAGAAACCTGCATAGTATATGCAAAGGGACCCCTCTAAAGACATGTCTTGCAGTTGTTTGGACTTAAATCAATGCTATTTTACTTCTGTTGGGAATGACAACAGATTGGGGGAAGAGGAGGGGTTGCTGACGGCTTAAGACTTTTATCTCTTAGCAGTACGGAGGCATGAAAGGTTGTACATTTGCAACTGTGATGATTTGGCCCAGTTCCTGGTTTTACAGTGGGTGAGGATTAGAAGCAAAAAGGCGGGGGAAAGGTGTTAGAAAAGACAGTGTGCGATCTCCAAATGTCACCAAAATACCATCACAATATTCTCCTTCGGCTCCAGCTGCAGATGAAAGGCAAAGGAAAGAAAGGAACTGGGTCAACATGCTCCAATTTTCCTCCTCCTATTTTTCACAACACCCTTATTTGTCTCTCCTCTTTCTACTTTCCAGTTTCTAAAAACCATTTGTTCTTCCTGTGCAGTTGAAACGAAGAGGAGCAATACATTGTGTCCTATGACTGAAATAGGCGATGGGACTGTCAAAAAATGTCAATTTCTGAGGGCCAGGTCATACATACAAGACATATTTTTCTCCACCCAAGCAGTCCTGTTGGCTTCAAGGGTGCACAAATGCCATGTTTACTGTGTAGACTGTAAGGTCCTTGTAGTGGGGAACAACTTGTTTTTATAATGATGATGATGATGATGATATCTCCATCATACAGCAAAAACGATATAATGAAGGTGTCAGGCACACCTCTGTGGGAAGGGAGTTCCACAGCTTAGAGACCACCACAGAGAATGTCTTCTCCCAGGCTGCTGCAACCTCCCAAAATCTGGAGGGTTGTGGAATGACCAAGAAAGCCCTTCCTTCCAATCTTAACGTCCAAGAGGGTCTGTAGGGCAGGAGATAGTCTTTCAGGTATGCAACCCAGTCAGATGGGTGGCATATAAATAATAATAATAATAATAATAATAATAATAATAATAATAATTATTATTATTATTATTATTATTATTATTAACATCATCATCCTTAGATTTTGTTGAGTATATAACTTCCAGAAATGGATGTGAGTGGCAATCATACAAAGTAACAAGACGTCTGTGGCTGGCTAATTTGCTGTTTGGGGAAATTTTTAACTTTTACTGATTTTTGAAAATGTATTTCATAGTATTATTGTGTTTTTGGTGTTTTATGCGCTCCAATGTTTTCCTGCAAGGGTACTGCAGCCTGTAAGATGGGGTAGAAATGCATTAAATAAGTAAACCATGTGCACAGTAGCTGAAAGAAAAAATATATACAGTTCATATTTACAGATCCTAATGTTTGAATTTGTCAACTTATATGCCAAAGATAGAGATCCTATATGCAAACTGTGCATTAAAGCTATGAAAGAGGCTGCAAATCAGTGCTCTTTTTTCTATTAAAAAATGTTTAGGGGTACTCTCATTTTCCTACTCATATTGAAATACTGCCCCTCAATGAGGGCAAACTTAGATTCACAAAATGTTTAGCGGTATGTGTACCCCTGCGTACCCCCAGAAAAAAGCACTGCTGCAAATGATATCTTAAGTAAGGTGATCAAAAGCTGAACAAACAGAAGGGGGAGGCCAAGGCCACCCTCTGGCTGGGGCAGCATTCAGTCTATGACCAGCCCTGATGACTAATGTCATCCAAGAAATGAATGAGTTACAGATAGGTAGCCATGTTGGTCTGCCATAGTCAAAACAAAAAAAATTCCTTCCAGTAGCACCTTAAAGACCAACTAAGTTAGTTCTTGGTATGAGCTTTCGTGTGCATGCACACTTCTTCAGATACACAGCACACGAAAGCTCATGCACACGAAAGCTCATACCAAGAACTAACTTAGTTGGTCTTTAAGGTGCTACTGGAAGGAATTTTTGTTTTAACAAATGAATGAGTTAGTGGAAACTTCAACAGCCACTAGTAAACCCTCTTGCCTTTCTTCATGATCCTTCTGGCCTTCTAAAACTTCACCATCCCATAATGCATTAATATTAACCCTCTGAAAGTAAGGATGCCTTTCAGAATCATAATATCCTCTAGTATTAAGGCACAGCAGGTGAAAATCTCTTTCAAAAAACTAGAGTGGCACTCTTCAGTTTGAACATCTAAAGCCCCTTTTCATATTGTAAAGATTTACTAATGGAAACTTTCCATTTTGTATTCAATTCCATGTACATCCCACCTTTCCTCAAAGGCTGTTCAAGGCAATCTAGGTTTTATATCTGCAACAAACCTGTGAGGTAGATTGAATTGAAAGTGCATGTGCATATCTGGAAACTTCTGTGGAAATCTGCAAAGAAAACTCCTATGCAAGGAGTTTGCCCATCCTTCCTCACAACATGAAACCTAAGGTTGCAATCCTATGCACACTTTCCCTAGGAGTAAGGGCCACTGAAAACAGTATGATGAAGTAGACTTCCAGGCAATACTGTGTTTATTAAACATTCACCCTGATCTGTTTGCAGGGAGATTAGACAATGCTGGCTATTTAACCATTGTTCCCATAGAATTTGTTGCCAGGCTGAGATGACCTTATGTCAAAGCAAGTGTCATCCCACACTTCTCAGTGTATTTTCCTGTCCCTTTGCTTATAACCATAAATCTGATCTTTTGGAGAAGCGTGTTCATTGCGCAAGACCTTCCAATCAACTACAGTTTTGCAGCCTGAATTTGATTGAATCCCACCGAAAAATAGCAACGTCTGACAGCGCCCTTACTTCCAAGTAAACATGCATCGGATTTCGCTGCAAAGCTTCAGATGCTATTCTGCACCGCCCTAGAGGAGAAAAGGAAGACAAACAGTTCCTTAAGTGTAAAGCACATACCTTCTTGGACTTCTGCCGGAGGCGTCAAGGTGGAAGCAAGCAGTGATGGGAAGGAGAGAATAAAGGAAGAAAGAACACGCATGTAAGCACTCTTGAGCTTCATCAGGTGATCAAGGAATGGGTAAAAGGGAATAGAAAAATACTGGTTAAATATAAACATCTAGTGCAGAAGAGGCACTGAGGGAAGCTGTAGGAATGTGGGGAGGGAGGGAAAAACTAGGTTATTGCTGGTATAAGTGTGGAGCATTCCACAAACAACCCACTAGTCTGTAAGTGACAGTTTGTTAATCTTTTTTATCTTGTTTCTTCTCTTCCAACATCCCATTCAAAGACATTATGTACATTCTGTGAACATATCAGAATCAACATATGAATGTGGAAGTCGTGTCGCATACCTGGCTCATGAACTTCATCAGGGGAGAAGTGTCATGGAACAAGATGTAACGGACAGCGAGAGAACGGAAACAAGAGGAACATGTTATTACAAGGTCTTTGGGCGCTTCTATGAGCTTCAAGAGGGGTGGGGGAGGGGGAGGGGAGTAGAGGGAAAGAAAATTAATAACATTGAAAAAATCACATGAAAGCAGCCCAGTGGGGAATCAATGAAGGTGAATGGCAAATACCAGATAAAAAGGCACATAGAAAAATGCCACATGTTTTGTCATTCACTTGTCAGCATAGCCCCCGGGCCAAGAGGAATTCGCCATTATGCTTTACAAAAATGGTTTCTTGGCTGATCCAGAAGAAATTCAAGTATCATCCTGTTCATCTGGAGTGCAGCAGTTCTAAAGAGTTTGCATGGGATCATCTCCACAAAACCAGAAATGAGCACACTTATTTCTGTTTCTGGGTAGATAGTCTCATCAGCCCATTTTAGAACCACATGTATGGTCCGAAATTTGCATCTGCATGCTTTGTTCATGGCAATTTGCACCATGGTAAGCTTTCATATTTTGAATAGTAAGAAAAAGCTGCAGTCAATTTCAGGGTAGCTATGATCTTCATTGTAACATTTTAGTACCTAGGCGTGCAAGAATATGAGTAAGCAAGGAAGTTCCATGGTTATCTGGCAAAGGTTCGATTTAAATCTATTCTTGTTACAAGAATAAATTTGATCTTTCATGTGGTTAGGTTCTTTGGCTTCCATTCCACTTGCAAAGATGGAAACCAACTCTGATTCCATCTGTGTCTCTGGGGAGAACGAAGCCATACATGCAGAATTCCAAAACCAAAAAATGGATCTTTGCGACCATGCCCTTTTACAAAAAATATTCACTCATGAATACAGCAGCTTATCCATAGTAGCTTTTGTCTACACAAAGCCATTACTGTTTAATAAACTGAAGCCATTTAAAAGGAACCCTAGTCTCTAGCTCTCCTCACACATTACAATGAAAACGTGTTGAGGGAGGAGCACTTTCAGCATGACTTGTGAAATGGCCAATAGGTTGGATCCAGACTTGGATTAAATCTGTGGGACTTAAGTTAGTTGTGTGTTGTATTGAAGGAAAGACAGTGGGTGGGATCCTGCTCCCCCCTCTACCTGTGCTCATCATAATGCGTGAAGAGGACTCAGATCTTCCCTGATTCTGCCTAGTTCCCCCACTAGCTGCCCATTTAAGAAAACCCTATGTCTTTTCTACCTTTTCTATTTCAAGCGCCTGCAAATGTTTTCTTTCTCCCAGATACTTACACGTGAAGGATGGGAAAATGCATTATTTTCAAATCAAGAAGGTTGCAGGAAAAGAAATTAAAATCAAGCAAGTGTTAAGAGTTATTGAAACTGTTATCTCCTGTTTCCTTGCTCCACCTTTGAATTCCTGTACACATCACCCTTTCAGATAATCAGTGGAATTCAGAAGTCATGTCACATACCTGGTTCATGGACTTCGTGAGGTGGGGCGTGCCATTAGAGAAAAAGGAAGACAAGACAAGTAATAAGTACAGGGTGACTGCAACCTTTGACTCTTGCAAGTCAAGGTTGAAATAAGTAATTGATTAAAGGGGATTAAAGGGGAACACAAATTAATGACCTGTTTAAAATAAAAAAGGAGACAAACATGAATGGGAAAAGAAGGAAAAGAGGTGGAGAGACAGGGAAATTAACATGGGGTCTCTTGTATAATATTAAACAGTGCAGTCCTATACATGCTTACTCAGAAGTAAGTCCCATTGAGTTCAATTGAGCTTACTCCCAGGTAGGTAGGTATAGGATTGCAGCCTAAGTTGATTTACAAATGTGAATAGAAACCCTTGGAATCTATTTGTACTTTTCTTAAATACATAGGGATGATAGCCAGCTACTCATACTCAGAACAGACCGAATGAAATCAATGCACTTAAGCCATTGTTTTTAATGGGCCTGCTCTGAACATGGCTTAGTTGGATATCACCCTGTGGTGATTTGCACATGTGGAATATGAACATATTGTCTGCATACATGGAATTCAGGATCACTTCACATGTTGCTTTTCTGAGCATGGATCGTATTTCTCCATTTCAGAAAAGTAGCATAGGAAGCAGCACTTCCTAAAAGCTATATATCCTTCCGATATGGACAATGGCTGTTGTGTCTGTGTGCATGTGTGAATCTAACCATAGTACACCTGCTATTGTTAGGTGTAAAAACAACACAACTATTTAATATTTATAAAAATGCCTATACTATACTAGCCATTGTACAGTTACAGATAGGTAGCCGTGTTGGTCTGCCATAGTCAAAACAAAAAAAATTCCTTCCAGTAGCACCTTAAAGACCAACTAAGTTAGTTCTTAGTATGAGCTTTCGTGTGCATACACACTTCTTCAGATACCTGAAGAAGTGTGTATCTGAAGAAGTGTGCATGCACACGAAAGCTCATACCAAGAACTTTTAGCCATTGTACAGTTATAAAAACAAGCAGATCCCTGCTTGCAGGCTCACAATTTAATAAACATGACATGGTTTTCCAATTATTAAAAAAACACACCCAAATGCACTATTCATAACGCACAAGGATTCATGTCTGTTGTGAACTTCACCTGTGGAAGAGCAATTATTTTATTTTATTTTGCCAAGTGCTTCAGAAAACCAAAGCCCTTAAGCATCAGATAAACTATACCGTTTTTTTTAAGGATGTCAGCGATGAATTACTTGTGTCATCTGGACTGGACTTTACATAAGCTCTCACCTTTCTTTTAGAGAGGCAAGCATGTGCAAGTGCTGGGCAAAGCTGCAGGAGAAGAGGACAAGATAGCCTGCCCCTTTGTACTTTGAAGGGGCTTCAACAGTTCCTGTGATGATTCTCTCAGCCTCCCACCTCCCCCCCAAATGACCTCAGACCTGCTTCTAGTTGTCTATGAAGGGTTCCACCAAAGTCCATCAGCTACTGGTGGACAGTGTGAGCAAACGTATAACCTACAGCTTATCCAGGGAATGAAAAGAAAGTAGACTAAAAAGGGCATTTTAATTTTCCCAGTCTTTTGGAACATGTGTAGGGAAAGGCAAAAGTCAGTCCTATAAAAATATGAAGGAAGGCTAGCAATTAGGATGCTTGGATCATAGAGATGGGTACACTAACCAAATACTATATAAAGGTATTTCCCTGGGAATGTCTAAAGTGTTGTGCAGCTAGTAATCCTGTGCTTCACCGTGTTCTTAGCAGAGTCTCAGTTGGCTTATATCCACAAGAGCACTGCAGTCAATGGATAAACCCTGGATCAGCCTTTCTCAACCTGTGGGTCCCCAGATGTTGTTGAACTACAACTTTAGGTAGCAAGGCCAGAGCTCAGGGATGATGGGAGTTGTAGGCCAACAATATCTGGGGACCCACAGGTTGAGAACCACTGCCCTTGATCATGGGTAGGCGAACTAAGGCCCAGGGGCCGGATCCGGCCCAATCGCCTTCTAAATCCGGCCTGCGGACAGCCCAGGAATCAACGTGTTTTTACATGAGTAGAATGTGTCCTTTTATTTAAAATGCATCTCTGGGTTATCTGTGGAGTATAGGAATTTGTTCATTCCCCCCACCCCCAAAATATAGTCCAGCCCCCCACAAGGTCTTAGGGACAGTGGACCAGCCCCCTGCTGAAAAAGTTTGCTGACCCCTGCTCTAGATCATATATGCTGAGTGTCTGTCCTGTATGACAAGGTTTCACTGTTCTAATGCACAATAAATATCACCATTTGTTAATGAAAATGAGATAGAGGGAAAGAGAGATTGTCTCCAGGGAAACCAACATAGATATTAAGGTAATGTGTTGCTCTCCTGTTCTCTTCCATCACTTTCAAATTCTTGCACACACTGATATGAGATGGAAAGAGAAGAATTCAGAAGTCAAGTCACATACCTGGTTCATGAACTTCACCAGGTGGGAAGTATCATGGAACAAGATTAAGGCAATAGAAAACAAGAATATTAGAAAAAGGACAACACGATTACAAGAGGCTTAAAGTAATTCAAGACAGTGTTGATAAGTCAGCTCACTATAGGAAAGCAAATTAATGCAGTTAAGACAGGGATGGTGGAATGCACATAGACAAATGCAGCTCATGCAAATGCGGAAGAGGAAATGTAAAGAGTTCAGACTGCAGATGAATTGTAAGCCAAGAATTGCTTTGTTTATGAAGCTGTTCCTTTCCTTCTGGGGCACATCTACATACTTCAGGAACAAACTCACAGAGACCATCCAGCCCCACAACCAAAGTGTGCCTCAGCCTGTGCTGTTCTCTCTCACCACACACTTTGTCCTTGCAGATGGCAGGGAGGACTGCAATGGCATCAATATGGCAAGCAAAATAGGCACAACTGGATTTCCAGTCGGCTCCTTTGTATCCCCAACAAGGAAAGCTACCTGCCTATTCTAGAAACACTACCTATGGTTTGGCTTGCATGCTGCAGCTCCCAGCCAGAAACAGAGCAGATGTCATGTGCATATTTTCCCCTTGAGCCTCTCCAGCAGATAGTAGACGCACTGGCTTCATTCACTAATAGCAAGTACTAGGAGGCAATATGGTTTCTCAATTTTATTGCTAATCACATTGTTAGCACCACATGTGGTTAAGCCCTGAATATGCTTACAGGGCCAGAACAGCACAAGGCTTCTGACCCTTTCAGCCATTTAAACAGGGCAGGAAGAAGAAGGCCATGAAGAACCGGTGCTCAAAAACCTGTTGTGGAACTATGTAAGGCAAGCTACTGCCAGTGCTGCTGCTGTCAACAGGCAGGCACATGTTGGGAATATGCATTCACATCTTGCCATGCTTGTCTATTGTATGAATTCTTCAGCATGGGACTGCAGCACAGACTTCTGGGTGGATCAGCCTGAAGCCAATGCAATGCATTGTCAATTCAGGAAGAAGCAGGAGCGCGGAAACAAATTTACTCTCTATTCCACTAAATCCTGAATCGAATCATGGCTGCAGACATCAAGTCTCAAGAGGGCATTAAAAGCAGATAACCATTCCTTACTTTTCTTTAAAGAGCCAAACTAAAGCTTTGGAGCTGAATTAAAGGCGTATATGTACTCAAGCAGACAGAAAGTATCTTACACAAGTATAGGATGATATTAAGCAACACAGCAGGGCAAATTCAACAGCGAGTTCTGTAGATTAGGGTAGAACGTTTGTCAATTTCACCACATTTCCACCCTCATATCTGCACAGAAGTGTGGTAAAGTCTTCCTTCATTGAAGGAAGGAAGCTACGCCAGGCAAGTAATCTCATGCCAGGGTAATTTGGTCATCTGTATGAGTTCATATTTATGAGTTCAATGTTTGGGCTGCACTTTGCTGAAGGCTCATGTGGGCTTTCATCAAGCAGCTAATCCTAAATCTTGCCGTATTAATACTAATAAATAATACCAACTTTTAAGAGTTGATTTTGACTACATATTTTCACCCCATGAGCACATATGGAAGCTGTTGTGCCAGAAAGAAAAGCGGATGTGGATTTTGAATTCCAATGCAATGTTTTCCCAATTGTATTCTTCTGCCTTAATTTCTCTGTGAGGGTAGGAGAGAAGCCATTATATTGGAATTAGCAGCAACACACACCAAAGGATATAGTTGCTTGCTCCAAGGCAGGGCTGTGGAATGGAAGTCTGAGCCACCTACATAATATCCCATTCATTCCAACTTTCCAGTCTCTTATGCCATAGGTAATTCAGCTGAAGTCAATAGAAAATCAAGCACCATGCGCAGATGGCTTAGGGTGTTTCGGTGGCTGTACATTTTTTGAAGGGTCTATTTAGATATAGTCAGTGCCTACAGTCAGTGCCCTTTTGCATTCAATTAGCAAGGACAGTACTGTAATCACACCTTCCCTTCCACAGCCTTAAGAAATGGAGTGCTCCAACTTCCATTTAAATGGTCAGAACCGAGATGCCTCAACACATACCTTCTTCCTGAGCTTCTTCTGGAGGAAGAATAGAAAAAAGAGAAGGAAACAGCAAAAGCAAGAAAAAAGAGTTAAACAATAAAAATGAAATCTGCCCGCCCAAACTGTGTGAAGAACATGAGGTTGTAGGGGTTAAGTTAGAAATAACAATATTGCAAGTCAAGCAGGGGAAAATTAATCACATACACATTGAATGGACACAACACATTGAGCAGTGATTTGAAATGTTACTTGGATAGTAAGTATATGGGCAGTTTTTGGCTTTCTTTGTTTTTAAAGCATGCATACAGATCAGAGTTAGGTTGAATCCTAAAATCCCATATTTTGTTAGACAGAGGTTATTTATATAATATGTCACATTTCAAATCCTGCAATTTGTGGAGAAAATGAACCAAAAATGACTATATTTCTCCAAAGAGGGATGCTATGGCAGAGTCTTATTCTGAAAAAAAAATAGAAGTTTGAAAAAAATGCAACCAATTCTGTTATTTACCTTGAACAACAAACAAATAACACTTCTTTTAGTGTATAGGGGATTCAAAACTGAGTTGTCATGAAGACTGCAACATCAACTCAGTTTCATCAACTCCCCCACCCACCCACATTGATGCCATGGAATCAAGCCTTTGGAGTTAATATTCTCTTTTATCTTGTTCTTTTTCTTCTGCCACCCTAGGATTCCTTTGTGCAGACAAACCACTCTTCTGAAAAGGAAGAGAGAGAAATCCAGGGGGCAACACCACACACATACGCACACACATACCTTCTTCTTGTGCTTCCTCTGATAGGAGACATCATGGGAACAAGAGGCAAAGACAAACAAGATAATAGCATTAAGATAGCGGCCCAAACCCTTTTAAAACTATTTTTGTGAACTACTGCTGGAGAAATAAGTGGTTAGAAAAAAGAGAATGTACAAAACAGGAAGCAAACAGAAGAAGACAGTTACAGATCAAACAAAGATGGTCAATTCAGAAACCAGAAAAACATAATTCAGGAGAGAGGGGAGCATGCAGTTTAAAGAGAAGAGAAACGCCAAGCGTAGCAATCACACACTGAAATCAATGTGGGGTTTCCCCCCGTCCAACAGAAAGGAAGGAACATAGGAAAAGAAGAAGGAGGGAGGGAGGGAGGGAGGAGGAGGAAGGAAGGAAGGAAGGAAGGAAGGAAGGAAGGGAAAAGGAAATTCATTTTTCCCAGAAGAAGCTGCCTGTATTAGGTTAGCACCCTTGACTATTTCTTTGTTAGGTTTGACAAGTGGCTGAAGATGGAGTTTGAAAAGGATCTTCCCTCACAATAACCCTAAGCAAAGCACTGTTTTTTTCTTTGCTTTTCAGTTAGTGTACTGGCTTAAAAGCTGTTGTTTCAATAAGGAAATGAACTTCTCCTCAGCAGCATCATACTCAGGAGCTAAGAATAATACATTTAGAATTAAGCCTCCAATTGTGATTTTATGGAGTTTCTGTGTTGGATGCTTGTAGTCTTCCAGTCTTCCATAGTCTTTTTTTTGACTCCAACACTAGACATGTTAGTATATCCAGAGCCTCAAGGGCTACACTGCCCTGCATTTTTAACACCATGGCATTCCTGCTCCAATCCCAGCATTCTCTTCTGGTACAACTAAAAGTGTTAACAACTGAACCAGGCTATCCACAGTATCACATGCGTATAGGAAGGAAATGACTGTGGTACATGGGAGAGCAGGCTAGCCCAGAAGGTCTGACTAACACACACACCCCAACCCAATGGGGCAGGCCTCTGTTTCCTGGTGGGAGAAGAAATCCATATTGTAAAGGCATCTCTGCTGGCCCACGGTTTCCCTGATCTATACAACTGGTCCTTGGTATTACTAGATTCCTGCTTTATTCAATCACTCTACTCTTTTTATGTTTAAATATTAAGCAGTTTAGAAATGCTTTAAAATAAAACAAATCCTTTATATATCACTGAACAACAACCACAAAATCAATATTCTTCCAAGCTGGTTTTTATCTCTCCCTTTATAACCCGAGAGCAAAGTTTTATCATCAAATGCCAAGGGATTGTAAGGCTGGATCTAAACACATCAAAGAAGTGTTTCAGTTAAATGCATTGTAAACTTTGTGAGAAATCAGGTTGGCAAAAATGGAACAGCACCATCTGGTGTCACAGTGTTAAAAGGAATATGCAGCGCATATAAAGCGCTTTTTCTTTGACAATGTAGCTGAGTCCTAAATAGCCTGTTTCAAAATATTTGAGGGGTATCCTGATATGGAGTACAGCAAAACAAAGAAGACTCTTGCACTAGAAAAATGTATTAGCACTTCCACATCCAAGTACCTAATAGGCTATATAATGTGTGGTCTCACTCAACACTTTGATCCTGTAAGCTTGTCTGAAGACCCCGTCACTGCCAAGAGTCTGCAGTACAAACAATAAGTTCAGCACTGATGGAACTGTGTGAAAGGGAATCTTCTTCACTCCATCTTCAAAACGTGCCTGTATCAATATACACTACTGTAACTTGTCAAACCTGTAGTCAGCTAAAGATGATGTACATTTCCCAATTTTATATTATCAACCTGCACATTTAACTTATTGTGCTGATGACAGTTTGTTTGGGAACTTAAATATTATCATGGGAGTTTCTGCCACCACAAATTCAAATCTAATTATGAGGGCCAGAAAGGGAATTCAGCAAGATGCACAACTGAGCAATCATATAATTGCTTGGGTTAAAGGCTAGCTGTGTAATATGCATTTAATCGGGTGGCTGTCAAGATCTCCCCTTTGGCCTTGTGAAATGGCCTCCAGTTTTAATTCTAAAGTCACTGGGCTGGTTATTCACCTAGCATTTCAGATCATCTTTAGCAGACAATAACAAAGAGACGGGTGAATGACAGGCAGCTAAAGAGCTGAAGATCAAGGGATCATCCAGGAGAGAGAAGGCACATTCCAGGTTTTGGTTACCTTCTTCTTCGTATTCCTCTGCATTTGGATAAAAGAAAGAAAGAAAGAAAACGAGAAAAGCAACAGAATCAACAAAAAAGCATAGCAATTGCAATACATGGACCACAAGGACTGATACAAAAGATAAAAACTCCCTGAAAATAAAAACACCCTTTATTTATAAAAAGCCAAAACAAAACAAAACACCCAAACCTATTTCCATGGTTCTTCTCAGTCAAAAGTCTGGAGCTAATCAAGTACAAAAAATAATGAAATGGCCATTGTTTTCCTTTCAAGAATAAGAGATTTCAACTGAGTTGGCATGAGTAAATTATATTGTTCTAATAGACGTAGCATGTCCCGATGTAAAAAATTGATTGAGATTCCATTGCACTTCTGCAAAGGAAGGGCATATTGCATAAATGAACTTTCAGCAGGAGTAACTCTTCTCTCCAAATGATTTCTATAGGATACTGTTGCGCAGTTCACACAAGCAGTCAAAGGTAGCTCGCTGCCTGCTCTGATGATCTCTTGTAGGTGGAATGGTAGTTTAAGAATCCACTAATTTAATACCATCAAGTAAACGCTGGAGAGGGTTGTATTTCAATCTGAGAGTGAATTACAGCCGTAATATTTTTTTTCCTGATTCTGTTTATATTGGTATTGGTCAATAAGCCTCAATAGATAGTAAAACAACAATGCAATTTCCTCCTTGAATGTTTCTGCTTCATTAATGTATAACTAGAGGCTGCTAAAATCAGTGAAAGGTTTTGAATCAAGATATTTAGTGTTACTGTTGCAACAATCTGGATTTATTTTACTGAACATATTTCATATCCAATGCACACTTCCAATATGGAATATACTATTCAGCAGCCCTGCTCATGTTTGGTAGTGGAATGAGTAAGCAATGCACAAAATGCTGCCTTTTGCTTTTGGAGCAATTCCACATGACACAGCCACAATGTGGAGGCTGCTTGCAAAATTACCTCCACCTTGGAAGTGCTCCATGCAGTGGCCAGTATTTCTTGCACTGGCTCACCTTGTAGATCAGCCCCTATGAAATATTCACAGTGGCATCTTTCAACAGTCTTGGGCACTAGAAACCTCATGGTGGGAGCCAGGCAATCTTGTACAGCAAGCTGGCACCATCCTGCTAAGTGGCTGCTGTGTCAACCCACTTTAAAGAGGTCTCCACCATATGACATGCTGCTGCTGTGAAAGTCATCCTCAGGGAAGATCAAACCAGCTTCTCAGTGCAATTTAGGAAAGAACTAGACATAATGGCAGCCCAGCCCATGTATGATAATACAGGTCATGCCAAGATCCTACGAAGTGGGGTGTGGGATAATTTAAAGTGCCACATGTATGGGAGGAAAAAATGATGACTCCTCTTCTCACTCCATGCCCCCAACAACTGCTTCTACTCAGCTAATTTTTCTCCTGGCAGGGTTGTTTCTGATCTTGGAGCATCACCAGGAGAGGCTGGGGAGATTGGAGAAGCCATTTTTCAGACAAAAACAAGGACAGGTCAAACACTCTCCTCTTGACCACAGATGATGTGCTTAAATTGTTCCCAGAAGATGCTGCCTCAAAAGGCTGAACTATTTATCTGCAGCTATGTGATATTCAGTTCCATTCCAGCTTTACACTTTTGTGAGACAGCTTCCTCTTAAATGGCATCAGCTTGAGGAAAGACTGTTAAAAAAGAGAGTCGTCTGTCTTCAGTCCAAATAGAAGATATGCTTCATAGACATGACCAAGCACCCTGTGCAGAAAATTTGCTTCCACATGCGACTGCAAGACAACAAAAGTCTGCACTGATAGTACGATGCACTGATAGTACAATTTCTGACAGGGAACATATGCTGAGAGCGTGAACAAATACAGAGAACAGCAATGAACTACAATGCACAAATTCATATATTTTGAAACAGCTAATATGTTTGGAAATGTAATCTTGCACAATGGAAACAGACACGGGATAGAAAGTTACATAGTACTTGTTCCCCAGTCTACAATGGTGTTATCTTAAAAAGGCAAAACTTTTCAAAATGCATAGGTTGGAGACAGTCTGCAAACACGGGGTTTTTTTGTTTTTTGTTTAATAAAAATAAAAAATTCATTCTTTTTTAGGCCATCCCTGCTAATGACTTTCAAAATTCCACAAGGTAACAAGCAGCAATAAGATAATCTTGAAATGAGTAAGCTACAAAAAGAGACATATTTATGGGCTCCGTGATTGTCAAATCCGTCACCAACAGATGGCAGCAGCTGCATGACAAGAAAGCAAAAATAGGAGGTGGAGGAGAGAGGATAGATATGATTTGAGTGAACAGGAAATCCAACCATGTGAAACAGGCATTGACCATGTAAGCAAGGTCAACACTGGTCAGAATTTTATAAAATGAGATACCATGATCCTATGCTCATGGTCAGCCAGAACTCAGAATGCTTGTGTATGATGGATTACAGGTGGGGAAGGGGAGGAATTTGATATGAAGAAATGAATGACTTAAGTTATGAGACCTTCACAGTATGAAACCATCACAAGAATAATAGAAACAGATATCCTCTTAGGATTCTGCCTTCTGAATATTTATATATATGCTGAGTACATTTTTAAAAAACTAAGATGCGTGGTTTTTTTAAAAAAACACACCTAATATGCATTGGAAAGGTATATAAAAAAATTAGACACTTTACAACGCCGATATACAATTACGAAAAGCTTATAAATACTCACCCTCTACTTGCTCCCTGTTACAAAAAAAGACAGACAGAAAAGGAAACACAGAAAATAAGACCGTAATCAAATTAATGAACAGAGCAATCCTATGTGTGTTTACACTGAAGGGACGTCTCACTCTGTTCAATGGACTCACAGTCTGGTGAATGTGCACAGTATTGCAGACTAAATTATAGCTATCATGTGATGTACTTGCTGCTTGTAAGTATAATTCATAGATCCTGCCTTATTTGTGCTATCATCTTTCAGCTCCAAGTCATTGTCAGAATAAAAAAAATGGTAGAGCATCACTAGTCTGGCTGGAGGCTGGAGGTTTTATGCATGTGAGCACTGCATCCCTCTCTCTGTTTGTCAAGACACTCCATCATGACTTCAAGACTCCTTTGAAAACTAAATTTAGTAGTAAGCTTTCTCTATGAAGCATTCTAGCTTCAGCTCCACTAAACCATCACCTTATCAGCTTTCTGTGTTCTTACCAATGACAAATCTAAGTCTCCTGGGGATGTACTATAGAACCTTTTTTATTTCATCCTGCATGTTTGGAAGAAGAAGAAGAAGACGATTTTGGATTTGATATCCCGCTTTATCACTATCCGAAGGCGTCTCAAAGCGGCTAACATTCTCCTTTCCCTTCCTCCCCCACAACAAACACTCTGTGAGGTGAGTGGGGCTGAGAGACTTCAGAGAAGTGTGACTAGCCCAAGGTCACCCAGCAGCTGCATGTGGAGGAGCGGAGACACGAACCCGGTTCACCAGATTACGAGTCCACCGCTCTTAACCACTACACCACACTGGATTAAATTAGTTAAAGTTGTCTGAGGCTGCACTGCTTTGTTTTATCAGTGACTGGTTTTATTAATTCATGCATACTAATGTCATTTAATGCTGTATGTTGCTATATTATATCAGGTCGGACTTCTCTGTGATCATGGTATGGCTTCACTTGCACATGACACAAACCAAAGTATGGCTTAGCATGAATGGGGAAGCATACTGGCACACAAGGAAAACATTGTGGCTACTTTGCTCCTTCTCTGCTTGTACTGCTGCCACAAAGCCACAAAAGCAACAAAGTCAAGATTTGGCTTAGCGTTATGTCCGAACCAAGGTATGTGGTTTGCTCTCCACAAACAAACAATGGTTGTTAATAAGAACAAACCTCAGTTACAAATCGCAACCCCAGGCTTGGACATAATGCTAAACTAAACCATGGTTTCGCTCCTGATAGCATGGCAGCAGCAGGTGAGCAAAGCAGCAGCAATTTGCTCCCTGTGCACCAGCAAACTTCCTCATTCAAGCTAAACCATAGTTTGAATTAGTGTTGAGTGCAAACCAGGCTTGTGCAGTGCAGAACAACCTGGATTTTTAAAATACATAATATGTGCTCTGTTTCCTCAGTATTTCATCACTAACCTCCTCATTTTCTTCACCTTAATTCCAAACTATACAGTTAAGAAGTTACCATATTTTTCGCCCTATAGGACGCACTTTTTCCCCTCCAAAAATGAAGGGGAAATGTGTGTGCGTCCTATGGGGCGAATGCAGGCTTTCGCTGAAGCCTGGAGAGCCCCACCGCCAGCCCCACAAGCTCGGGGGACAGCGGGGAGGCGCAGCGCGCCATTCCCGCTGTCCCCCGACTTGGTTAGAAGGCTGGCGGGGGGGGGGGGAAGAAGCCTGCTCCTCCCCGTCGCCAGCCCCGCAAACTCGGGGGACAGCGGGAGGCGCTCCGCTTTCCCCTCCTCCAGCCCCACAAGCTTCCAGAGTGATGCCAAAGCTGCACGCAGCTTCGGCATGGCTCTGGGTCCCGTTCTGGGGGCTGGGGGAGAGGGAAGCTCTGCTTTCCCCGCCCCCAGCCCCACAAGCTCCCAGAGGTCCTGTTCTGCTCCCACACGCTCCCAGAGGTCCTGCTCCTCTGGGTTCTGTTCTGGGGGCTGGCGTCGGGGAAGCCCGCGCTTCCCCCGCCCCAGCCCCGCGCCTGGGGGGGGAAATAATTTTTTCCCCTTTATTTTACCCCCCAAAATCTAGGTGTGTCCTATGGGCCGGTGCGTCCTATAGGGCGAAAAATACGGTACATTCTGCCCATGATCTGTGCAAGCAGCAAAAAGCACCGGCTATTTAAGGTTGTGGATTTGGCCCTAGGTCATATGACTTCATAAATAAATAAATAAATAAATAAATAAATAAATGCAGTAAAATTAGGTGTTGCTTCTCCTCATTGATTTCGGAACAGGTCATTGACTTCGTACCTGTGAGGGCCAGTTGTTTCATACTACCAGAAAACCTCCCTCCCCCCCCAAAAAAATGCCCTTTAAAACCAATGGTAATATTGATACGCTTCTACTTACACTTCTTCGTTGTCAGACATGTTGGCAGGTTTCTAGACGAAAGAACAAGCAAAGAGCAGAATAAGTTTGTGACATATCACCCATGCACACCTGATCTTCCTATAGATGTAAAAAAAAAATCCCATGACACTTAAGATGTGGAGCAATGGCAATTAAATGAGTTGAAGAAGGGATTATTGTAGCAATACACTTCATAAACCCTACAGTACAATTAATCATCAAGTGGGAGGCTAGCCTGTCGCTTGTCTGAGCCGAACCTTATAAACTACAGTAATTCATACACTTAACTCCAAGTTGAAATAAGATGTCAAACACTGTGGTATTCAAGCCCTCCAAATTGCACTCACGTTATTATGAGCACTAGATGGGATACAATCAGGTCCTCACTGTGTGATGTATATGTGAATGGGCAACTTCAGGCATCTCAACCTGATATCTGGTAGTGAGATACATTCCCCTAGATCAGAGATGGAAAGTCGCTGGCCCATGGGCTGGATCTAGTCTGCAGTCTAGCCTATTACACCCCACCCCACCCACTGCCGCCACAGCTAATAGGCATAGAAAAAAAACTCCCACAGGGTCCATATCTCTTTCTCAGCAACCAGCACGGAAATACCACTGGGAGAGGAATGCCGCAATCCTGTCTGGACTACTGTAATGCACTGTTTGGGGGGGGGGCTGCTCCCAAAGATGGTGTGGAGACTTCAGCTAGTGCAGAATGCAACTGCGAGGCTAGTTAAGTGGCGCAGCCCAATGAGGCCACGTGTCACTATTCCTGCAAGAACTGCACTGGTTGCCAGTGAGGTACCAGGCCAAATTCAGGGACTTAGTACTAGCATAAGTCTTAAATACCCCAAAGAGCCTACAATTGGCAAGTAAGGCCTTTCTGTGGTACTACCACAGGGGTTGCCCAGTTGGCAGTGGCCGGTGATAGTGCTTTTTCAGTGGCAGTTTCCCATTTGTGGAATGCCTTCCCTAGTGAGCTATAGCCGTCTTCCACTTTGCTGATTTTCAGGGTAAATTTAAAAGCATTCCTGTTTACCCAGGCATGATGCTGAAAGACAATGTTCCTGGCAGCCCGGAAATCACTGCTTGAGAAAACGTTTTCGCTGGGTTTTTTTCCTTAGAATGTTTTTAAACAGTTTTTAGATATATTTATCATTTGCTTTGCTATGTTTGCCACCCTGATCTACTCTGGGAGGAAGGGTGAGATATAAATTGAATGAATAAAATAAAACGCAGGCTCTTTGTGTGAGCACATGCGCACACACAAACACACACACCATTTGCTGCAGTTACAGGGCTTCTATTCATTCCAAAGACAACTACGACGAGATCAGCTGCAGGCTCATTTGTTAAAGGGTGGATGGAAAAGTGCCAGAATTAACAAGGTTATTTGGGTAACGTTATCTGGCTAGCTCTTGTATTTACTACAGCCAGCTTTAATACCACTGGGTAAGCTCCGGAAAAACCTGGGATCATGAGGGATTTGGGTTCCTACTTTCCCAGCATAGCAAATGGTGCTCAAGGCGGCAGAGATGCTACCACTGTTTCGCCCCAGCAGCTAAGTGCCTGGTCAACCTGGCCTTGCGTTTGCTGCTTCCGCTGCACAATGTGGCAGGAGAAGCCTCAGAGGAGAACTGAAAGCACAGCAACAACTTTTTTGGTGATGGTTAGCAACGCCTTTGCAGAACTATTTTTAAAGGGTTAGAAAACCTCGGAGAGGTCAGGGACGATGAGCTCTGCAAGAGGGATTTCGTCCAACATCCAGCAAAATTCATGATGGACGGAGCTTTAATTAGAAAACAGAGGCTCCTCCCCAGGAAACCCAAGCCCCGACTTGAGTTCATTACTCAGCTGATATATGAGAGGAGTCTTGAAGGAGCAGGCAGATGGATGTGCGTCCTAAAGGAACATCTGTGGCTCACAAGGTTTCTATTTCAGAAGGGTCTAATAATCCTGGAGGCAAGAGTCCTGCCATATAAGGGGTCCTGCCCAGCTCCCAGTGACAACACTTAATGATACAACGTAAGCACTCCGAAGGGTGTGCACTTAACACTGCCCCGAACCCCACCCGTTCCGCTGTGTCGTGAGGTTTTGAGCGTTCCAGTGATAAACCCCTAACAACAGGCAGAAAATATTTTGGTTTTGAGGATGGCGTGGTACCGGCTCTCCATAGCAAAGAGGAAAACACAGAAGAGTCACCAAAGTCCCCTTCCAATCTAACTGTTCCCAAAATAGTTTTGGTCAGTGCTATTTTTCTAGAAAAAGAGGTGCCAGAACTCACCATGAACACCACCTTCATTCTCTTAGAATGGCAATGGCGCCCACCTGAGAGGTGCCGGAACGGCTTTTGTCCAACACGCCTATTTTAACATTTCTTCTGAGCTTAGAAATACAGTGGTACCTCGGGTTAAGTACTTAATTCGTTCCAGAGGTCCGTTCTTAACCTGAAACTGTTCTTAACCTGAAGCACCACTTTAGCTAATGCAGCCTCCTGGTGCCGCTGCGCCACCGGAGCACAATTTCTGTTCTCATCCTGAAGCAAAGTTCTTAACCTGAAGCACTATTTCTGGGTTGGCGGAGTCTGTAACCTGAAGCGTATGTAACCTGAAGAGTATGTAACCTGAGGTACCACTGTAAAGATGCACAAGCACAGACAATTTTAAAAAAAACATTATTTGCTAATGCAATTCCAAGGAAGCGGGGGCCATTTTAGGTGCATCATGAATCTGTAGGGTGGTTGCTGCTAATGGTAAAAATTGGCCAAGAACTCCCCCCACCCTGCCCTGCCAATGGGACCTCAACTAACAAAGTCATCCATTAGACCAACAACTGCAAAAATGTCTGTGAGAATGCTATTAAAAAATTATAGCAGCCTTCCTCATCATGGAGCCTTCTAGATGTTTTGGACTACAAATCCAATCAACCCAACTCAATCTGGTGGGCACCAGGTTGGGAAAGACTGACTTCAAGGCTAATTTATAATTATGCCAGTCAATCACAGAATACATTTTAATAGGAAAGACATGGTCGTTTTTAGACATCTTTTAAAGACGTGTAAGCTTTTAAAAAAGTAAGGTTCCGAAAATGGGTTCATTCTGTTGCCCTTTCATATATATATTCTTCTGCTGCTGACACTTTGAGAAAAGGTCCCCACTGACTAGGGATTTCATAAGGGTCATGAGAGTCTTGTGGGTAGACTGCCAGTAAGTACTGGGTCTTGGGAATGTGGCAAAAGAAGATATTTCATTGCCAGGGTAGGAGTTGAAAATAACAGGAGCTTCTAGGCAGTGACAGAATGGGTCCTTATGACTCATCGGGTAAAAGTTTGTGTACCGGACTTGATAAGTGATTTGCTCCCTGGACAGATTTTTAGCCAGATAGGGATGCAACTTTCAGAAAATCTCAACGATTGCATACATTATTATGTTTGTAATATAGGCATATTCCTAAAATAACTATGCTGAAGAACTAGGGTACCACATGGAGCTTGACTCTTTTATACATAGGCTATATGTATTTGGGGGCATAGAATTTTGCATAGAATTAGTCAGGCTTTAAAACGAAACCTGACGGTACATAAGTGACTCGGACAAAAGCAGGTGCTTGATACAAGAGATGGCAAAGCTTGACTGGGTCAGAACCACCAAATTCTATGTATAAATTCATTCAGATATAGGGTTGAGCCAAAGGAAGTAGTACACAGTCCATGGGTCGTCTACTCCCCCTGCAAGATATGCCCTCCCCACAGTAATGTGGGATGCCGCTCACCTGACCTCCCTCCAGCTGTGTTGCTGCTGCCTATTGAGATGGAGGGGCAAGGTGGTGGCGAGGTCAGATTCCTGGTTGGTGCATCTGCGTCACACTGACCTCCCCATCGCCTCACCTCACCATTCCCTCCCTGACCAAGTATGCAGCATCCGTGCAACTGGAAGGGGGTCAGGTGAGCATTGCAGGCTCCCCATGACATCCACTACTGCCCTCCAACAATCATTTAGAGCACCGTCTGAGGAAGCAGCACGGCGTAGAATGCTCTTTGCAGTCCTGATCAACTACAACTTTGGAACTTTTTTTTTTTTAAATCACCCTTCTTCCTTTTCAGCAGTGACAATGGACAAAAGATAAAGATATCAATGGCTGCTACTCACAGTAGCTGTATATCAGGCATCTCCAACCAGTAGATCATGATCTACCAGTAGATCCCTGGCTGATCCTGGTAGATCGTGGGACCCTTATCGATTGTGGGATTAAAAAAAGTTTACAGAAAGTTAACAAATTTAAGCTGAAGAACTCTGGGCAATCCTACCCCCAAAAAACTCAACAACTCTGGGCTCAACAATTCTGGGCAATCCACCCCCCCCACACTCCTCCTCCCTCCAATGACAATGGGTAGATCATTGCCAGGTTTCTATACTGGGAGTAGATCGCAGTCTCTTGGGAGTTGGACGTGCCTGCGTGTATATCACTGCCAGTATCAGAGGCAGCATACCTCCGAATGCCAGTTGCTCGCCTCCTCCCTGTGGGCTTCCCAGAGGTATCTGGGCTGACCCCTGTGGGAACAGGGTGCTGGACTAGACCAGTCTTTGGTCTGATCCATTGGGGCTCTTTTTATGTTCTTATGAGCAAATCTGGCAACGCGTGGATGGAACTCCAGGCAAATAAAGCTAATGGAGAGCAAGGACAAACAGCCGCGAACTACTATGAAAAAAGGTAAAATGCTGTTGTCTTTCAAGAACATCTCATTCCCCCAAAAGCTCCTTTTTGTGTCACAAACATTCCAGAAAATCTGGTTCAGTCCTATTCTGGAATTGTTTCCAGATGGTCTTGTTTTCTTTTCTTTCATTTATCAAATGAACCTGCAAGAGGAGGAAACGAAGTGAGGATTAGGCCGAGGAGTCAGCCTCTTTCCCTTTGGCCCTCGCCCCACCCCCACCCCAGCCGGCTGACCATTGTCCTAGCTGGGAGGGGGTGGGACGATGGCCATCCTACCCAGGTGGGAGGCACCGGAGCAGGTAAGCCCGCTCACTGTCGCAAATCCCACCCACCTGTTGGGAAGGGAGGGCGGAAATTCTGCAGAAAATCCAATAAATAAAACAGCAAACAACCCAGAAATGGTAAATATGTATCAAATGGGTGGGAAAAATCTGAGACGGCATTCTGATAATGACAATGTTATGTGGACCCTGCAAAAAAAAATTGCACACACACTAAACCATGATGTGGAAGGGCCATATCATCCAAACTCTGCTTTTTAAAAATGGTGTACAGATTTTGAATATGTGCTTCTTGGTATATGAACATACACACGTTTGCTGAATGGTTTGTAAAAAAAGGGGGAGCTAAATTGTAATGAGGGCTTGCATCTGATAAAAAATAAGCAACAATATCATGACACAACTCAAATACTTGAACAAAATAATCCAAACGACCTGGAAATATTCTGGTGATATGGATCATCACCATTTATGATAACTAGGCTACACCCTGCACTGACATGGAAAAACATGGAAAAACTGACATGGAATATTCATAATGTTAGGGGGGATAAATGGGGGGGGCTGTTCATTCAACTGGTTCTTAAATCTGAGTGTCAACGTATTTTCACTTTGTCAAGAAGAGAGCCATCTATTCTAAAGTTGTCTCAAAGCTGGTCTCTTTAACACTTTCAAACTGTTTCTCCTAGGCTTTATGCACTCTGGAACATGGCAGTCTGGGAGATCACCTCGTAAACAGCATCATGGGAATTAAGGACCAGCTTCCCTTCCTCTGATATCCTGTGGCTGATAGTTAAAGAGGAGAAGAGCCAGGGTTCAGTTTTCTCCTTTACCCCAAATGTTCAGTGGTGCTAGAAAGTTAGCAAGGAAATGTATTCCACATGTGCCTTCAGAGGCACTCGTTTCTTGATGAGTATATCACATGTACCACAGCTGACTTCTGCTACCGAAAAGTGGTCCCAGTGGCATATCAACACTGTACATTTAAATAATACTCAGACCTGTTCAGCTATAACAATTACTGACCTAGGAATCAGGGGAGGTGCTGTGAAAGGGCTAGAAATACCCCTCAAAAGAATCCTCACATCAAAACTGAGGCTGACCCAAATGCACAAGCAACCTAATCATTTGTCTGTGGCAGCACTATTGTAGTGCTTCAGTATATTGCGCCACTGAAGCAGTATACAATCCCAGAGATGCAACTCAATTATTCCTTTCCATTGCTGCCTGGATATAGTTTTCGGATCATGCATGTCCATGCAGAATCTGAGAATTGAATTCTGGTACCTCCCACCCTATGAGATAAGTGCTGCCCACCCTCAGGGCTCCTGAGGGGGACCAGTTTCAACATCTAAGGTAGATCTGCCTTCTTTCAAAGTCCTAAGGAGCCTGGTTCAAAATAAACTCTGTTCTTAATTCTCCCGACATTTCATCTTATAGACGACTTGTGGTAGGACAGTCTTTGGAATGTATTCCATATCCTGATTTATCAGACATCCCAATTTGCTGATCTTCAGGAGACAGTAGAAGACTTGGAGCCAAAACTAGATGAGATATGGAAGTTTCATGAATGGATCCTCATTTTTTTCAAAAGAACAGTAATACAGTGGTACCTCAGGTTAAGTACTTAATTCATTCCGGAGGTCCGTACTTAACCTGAAACTGTTCTTAAGCTGAAGCACCACTTTAGCTAATGGGGCCTCCTGCTTCTGCTGCGCCACCGGAGCCCGATTTCTGTTCTCATCCTGAAGCAAACTTCTTAACCTGAAGCACTATTTCTGGGTTAGCGGAGTCTGTAACCTGAAGCATATGTAACCTGAGGTATCACTGTAGTTACAAAAGAATTCCCACTTTGATTGGAGGGGATATTTAAACCACCATCTAAACTAAACTGCCTTCTCAAGCTACTATTCTTGCCACACCAGAAAGAGGGGAAGGGAACAGAGAGGGAGAGAGAGGCATTTGTATAATACCTGCATTCCCCACCCCCCTCCATGCTCTCATCAGTATCAGAGCCCACAAAAGCTGCTTTGAATTATTTCAAAAAAAAAAAAGAAAAACAAAAAGCTGGGTCAAAAAGGCCAAATCACAGATTTCTCACCCCATGGCCTTTATCCTTTTAGGACAGTTTGCTGTAGTAGTATTATTAGCAGTAGTACATGCCAGTTTTGCATGACTTTAAAACTTTCAATGTTTCTGTCAATAGCAAAAGAATCGATACTACAATAGTTACCAGGCAGGCACACCTTATTTGCAGTTCAAAGAACCCCCCCCCCCAAATAAACCCTCTGTAAGGTCTGCCCTCCCCGGTGCAGAACTGCAGAAGTTATAAATAAATGCTCGAAATGGAGCCAAATCGAATGAGACAAAGTGGATCATGATTCTGTCACATAAATCCCCAGGCCCGTCTCTGCTTCCTGCTCTGAACTATATGTTCCTTTCGGCCTAAATCTATTCCAACTCTTGGCTTTAAAAGCGCAGTCCCCATCTCCTCCGGAGCTTCTTAACAGCTGAGAATGTACCCATCTTCCCCTTGATAGATTGAATTCACTCCCTCACACCTCAGAAGCCATTTATGAAAATAGCCTTCCTCCTATCAATCATTCCCTCTCCTTGGCCATACAAGGGAGGTGAGGCGGCAAGATGATGAGAGGAAGATAGAGAAAGAAAATGGGCATGCACTGGAGAGCAGACCTGGCAGGTAAAGCTAGAAGTCTGAGGCGGGGGTGGGGGTGGGGGTTGCTGGCACGAGAAAATCACGAAGCAACTGTCAGGGCCACCATCTATCATTTGGCAGATAGATCCACTCCCCTGGCAGAATATCTAGTCAATCTGACTTATCCGATAACCATCTAGGACATATTTCTTTACACTCCCTGCATTTTCTTCCTTGCCCTGTCTCAGTAGAAATTCTTTGTAGCCATTTAGATGGTGGCAATGTGATTCTATATTTGGGACCAAGACTCCAACAGCCGGAGTTAAAAACACTCTGAGAGTAAGAAGCAACAGCCCAAGTTGCTCGTTCCTAATCCCATCCATCTGTGCTGCTGGTCTCTCATGGCTCTGCTCATTTCCAAAGCAAGCAAAGTCAGCTAAGAATAAGAAAGACTCGGAAACCTGGCCTATTGATCCCCTTCCACACAGCTGCACCCTCTGCTGGACTGCTTTGTGACATTTCTGTTAAGGATCTGACAGCAGGAGGAAGGCGTCGCAGATGTTGTTCAAACTTTCTCTCCGCGCAAATAAATGCATCAGGAAAACACATTATGGATGGCTATACGCTAAGGTGTTACATAAACCAAACGGCAGCCAAACTCTATCTCAATGTGACCGTTTCATCATTAAACATCCGCGAGCCACATAATTTTCCCTTTAAAACATGAAGCTTTGAATAAAAATAACTGCAGGTTTGCAGCATTATCCTCTGCGTATCTGCTCAGAAGTAAGTCCCATTAAAATCAATGAGGGGTTAGTCTCAAATGTGCAAAGGATTTCAACCCAAAGATAGATAGGAGTATATGGTCAGGAAAGCAGAATCTTCCACATGGGGGAAAAATAGTCCAATGACAAGTTAGCTCATGATAATGCAAGAAAAGAGCAGATTGGCTGGTCTATGCAGAGCAGGGCAAAGGGTAGATATAGATCTCCTGGAAGGTCACAATCAGTCAGCAAGGACTTCTGACCCCCAATTATTTCACAATCACAGCAACATGAATACTCCCCCGCACCACCACTCCATCCAAAATTATACTGGAAGTTTGAGTGGATTTTGTGTGGAATTTTTGTGTTCCGTTCTGGTACTCAAAACAAATTCTCCAATTCTAAATATTTTGCACCAGGCTCCAATTGGTAGATTTGAGATTCTAGTGAGGGGTGGAAAAAAGTAGATCCCATAGGCCTTCCCCGGTTTAAGGGGGAAAAGATACTGGTGTCTGTCAGACAAATAACATCTTCAGACATGCACACAAGATTGCTGCACCCTAGACCATAGAAAAAGTTGCTGCTTATATTCAAGAGTAGCCAGTCAATGTGGCCCAAACCTAAATTGTGATGAACACACAGTTTGATCACTAATGCTTCAGAAGGTGAGAGTGGCAGGGGAGAACAGAGGTGGTGCACTGGACCTTGTACTTCTGGAAAAACAAGGGAGAAATTCTAGACCACTTGTTGTGGGCTGATTCCCAGATTATGGCTGCCACACGTGGGAGTCCTCGTGTGGCAATGTTCTCCATCGCAGCTCGAACAGCCAAAAATGGCCTGCAGTGGCATGGAGAAAGTTATCCAATCCACCTTGTGAGCTGCTGTGCACAAAATGACTTGCCATCTGGGGGCAGAGGCTGCCATGCAGAGTGGTTTGAAGCAGCCTCTAGAAGGAAGCACTGATTCTTCGTCCTGTGTCGTCACACAGCCCGGCTATTTTCAGGCAACTTCCTCACTGACCAAAATCATATCTCAGTGTAGGAAAGCAGAGCTTTGGATTCATTCTCCCCACCAGTTCCTTTTTGGGAGCAGCAAGTGTCTCTTTCTCCGTATATGGTGAAGGGAAAAAACAATACACTAATTAACTGTTGGTATGCTCTTAATCAAAATGACCCAACATTTGTGAAGATTGAGAAACAACCTAATTATATGCACCTGCTCACAGGTAAGTCCCAGAGATTTCAATGAGGTAAGCTGGCAGCCTCAGCCATGACAACAAACATGCTACTGATACGCTTCTACTCAAAAGGGGTCATTCATTGATTCCTCAGTCATTTTATGCTTAGGCCTGTTTCCTGCCAAAGAATTTTTATGCCACTGTTTTCCAATATGGCAACTATATATTTAATTTAGTCCCTTGCAATCCCCATCAGGTTTGATCTGCTTGTAGCAACTTGGCAGGCATATGCAAACTGAAGAATCCTAACAAATCCTAGTCAGCCCCAAACTATTCAGATTCACACTTTTTCATCCAGTTTGTGGGAACTGCATAATACGTGCAACATGTTTCCTTATAAACCTTATACTTTGCATTCCTGGAGTCCAGCATTACTTTTCAAGGAAGTGAATTACATTTATTACATTTTCACCAGTAGACATGGGAATAACCAATGCATGCAATGTGTGAACAGCTGCCAGGCCGTGAGACTCAATATCACTTCATCTCTCAACTGAACTCCCATCACGTTTGACACACTGAGTCCACAACTAAAACAATCCCAAACCATGCCACTATAACTCTTTGAAGTCAATGGGATTTTGCCAAAAAGCTTTACTAATTAGTATTCACTTTTATTTCCAGAGCCTTCTGAGACTGCCCTCCTTTTCAATGGCTACCTCATTTGACATAAAAGGCTTACTTTTATCTATTTCTACCCTAACTTCTATCTCCCCTTTGTAACTAAATTCAAGCTGTGAGGGAAAACTGAACCTGGAGCAGCATTTTCAGCAGAGATTAATACAACCACTGGAAGATTTTGAGAGCTTTGTGTACAGCAACCTAGTGGTGCTCTCCTGATGTTTTGAACTACAACAGCCATCATGCTGCAGCCGCCATGGCCATACAAACTGGAGCTGACAGGCATTGTGGTCCAAAACATCAGGAGGGCGACAGGTTGGGGAAGCTTGGTGTATATGAGATATACTTTCCTTGACAACTTCCAAGGCCACATAGTGCTCACTTTTAGGCTCCACTTTTGAAATGCTCCCCCTCCCTCCCTCATCTATCTATATCTATCTATCTATCTATCTATCTATCTATCTATCTATCTATCATCTATCTATCTGTCATGGACTGCTGCTGCTTTTTAGTACAACCTTGAAGCAAGCCCCACTCAAAAGAGGTAAGAAAAATGGTAGGCCCAACAGGGAAATGACCGCGAGACATGGTCTTAGGATGTTTACATACTATAACTTTTAAAGCACTTTCCAAGCCCCCAAAGAATTCTGACCACTACGGCTCACCCCTCACAAAGCTACAATTCCCAGCTGGCCTTACTTCACCCAGGTCAAAGACCCAGTTGGGCACACACAACCCATGCGTACACACACACACAGGTGGGGAGCCTCAGTGGCCCCAGTATGGAGGCTTCACAAGGGGCAAACCCCACCCTGTAGCTCCAACCTCTGCCTTAAACTACAGAACCCAGAACGTTTTGCAGAAAAGAACGCAACTGCACACGCAGCCTTACGCTAGGCCCACAACTCCCTGAACTCCTTTCTCAGAGGTTTGCACCTGCTCTTCCTTTTGGGTCCCCTTCACACAGAGCTACGCCCTTTGCCTGAATCTCCTCCTTACCTGAGAGGGGGGAGCTGCTGTGAGAAGCAAGGAGCTTTCTGCCGAATGGGAGAAAGGCTGCGGGGTCTGCAAACTCCACCAGGCGATTAAGTCCTCCTGTTATAGGGACATTTGATCTTCTGGAGAAGCTCATTGGCCACCAGGCTCACAACACTGGGGAGGAAAAGAGCAAGGAAAGGGAGAGGGCCGGGAAGGGGGTGGGGAAGAGATGGGAAAAGGTCATACCAAGTATAGGAGCAGCTGAAGGAACTGCACCAGGCTGAGATGGGAGGGGCAAGTTTGGAGGGGGGGCATCGTATAGCTTAGGTTTCTATATTTATAAACCCAAGCAAGCAAGCACAATTTAAAGAAGGAGGTCCAGCGCCAAGGAGCTGGTGGCTGGGGTGGTGAAGAGTGGAGCCTGGTGCTCTTCAGTTGTCTACGCTATTTTAAAGCCCATTAATGGTTCCTGTCTTGACCACGCTACAGGCTGCGCACATAAGAAGCCACGCAGATGCATTCTTCGAAAAGGTCCGAGGCAAAAGACTGTGTGCCTTTGAAGCGCATTCTTATCCCTCAGAGAATTCTGGGGACTGTAGTTGGTTAAGGGTTGCTGGGAACTGTACCTCTGTGAGGGGTAAACTGCAATGCCCAGAATTCTTTGATGGAAAGAATGGGCATTAAAGTATAGTGTGCACACTCAGGAAGAGATGTTACTGGGATACATAGTTTCCATGACAAATTAGAGGCGTCCCAGTGCTTGAACTACGTCAGAAACTACACTGCTCTAGCAAGCTAGGGCAAACCAGCTTTGCAAACCATATCACAAGCTCGGAGGAACCAGGGGTGGGGTAGCAGCAGAGCCAGCCCAAGATAATTTTGCTGCCTGACTGAGGTAAAGGATACGCTGGCACCTACCCTGCCCCATTGCCTCTCCTGTTCCACTTACGGAAGCTGATTAGACTGGCAATTGATTGTACACACCGTACATTTAAAAGTTATTCCCACCCACCCAAAGAAACCTGGGAACTCTAATTTGCTAAGGGTGCTGGGAATTGCAGCTCTCTCAGGGGGTAAACTACAGTTCCCATGATTGTTGGGGGCACTTTAAATGTATTTACTGTATAACACTGACAAGAGGACAGTATCCTAAGCTGCACCTGGGAGCTTGGGGAGTGCAGGGCGGACCCCACAGCTGTTCTTCAGCACCACAGCTTGCCCCCGCTGCCCCCAAAATACGCTGCCCAGGATGACTATCTCACTTTGCCTCATAGTACTAGCACCAGCCCTGCCAGAGAGACACAGTTTGGCTTTCCAGATCAAAATATCCACAACAGAGACATTCTGAAGCTTGGCTTCTGACCTAAAATGGTCACTACTACATCTAACTGATGCTCTGGACATACTGTCAAATGATCACATTTCATGTTTGAGATGTTTTATTGATTTTATAGCCACAAAGACCTGTTAGTGGCCAGTGGCAGTTGGTCACTTCACTGTTTTACTCGCCAGCTTCCTTTCAAAATATTATATAAAATAAAATTCTAAAAAAATGAATTACGTCTGTATCCCATATTCCATCAAGAAACACAAGGTAGCATACATGCTTCTCCCCCCCCCCGCCCCGCCCTTCCTCATTTTACCCACACAACAACCCTGTGGGGTAGGGTAGGCTGAGAGACAGTGACTAGCTCATGTTCACCCAGGGAGCTTCAAGACTGAGAACATAAGAAAAGCCTGCTGGATCAGACCCAGCATCCTGATCTCACAGAATGGAGATTTGAACCCTGGTTTCCCATATGCTAGTCCCATCGCACTGGAATCACAGTGAAAAGCATGAATATCCTCATGTTACCCTTGACTGCTTGGAAGAAGGGAGACTTCTTTAAAATATGCAAACCCTCTGATATTAAGAGGCGTGCAGTAACCGTGGTTAGCACAAAGCGTTGTAAATGCAGGATGGGAAATGACTTCTTGACAAGCATTTCACGCTTCCTTGGTTGCAAGAAGCAGAATTTTAAAGGACAGGCCTGGGAGGGGGTCTCAAACAAATAATGTATTTATTTCTCCCCGAGATAAATATGAGAATCTGGGTTCTGCCTGGATCACGAATTCGAAACTCAGGGAGGAGGGGCGGGGAGGCGAGGGAAGAAGCCCCTTGATTTAGATCAGCGATAGAAGTAAATACCAAATATTTTGCAGGCGCATTTGGACGTTTTTTGGACGAGAACGCAGCTGCTCCGTTCTGCCAGTAGGGGGCAGAGCGCAACCATTCAGTTGCAAACCCTGTTTCCACCGCGCAAAGGTATATAACGCCTTCTCCATTGCCTTGTCTGTTCCATCACCAGCACCACCCCCGCCTCTTCTCCAAGATAGACCACTTTGGCACGGCTCCTTTGCTGTGTAACCCTATGCCATCCAGAGGGGTCGACACACACACAAACACAGAGACCCCTCAGCAGAGTTTCTGTGCTTTAGCAGCCTCTGAGACACAGAGGAGACCTTTAGGTCTGGAGCTGTAGCGGGGCATGTTTTATTTTGGGCAGGGAGCATCAGTCTCTCCTCCTCCCTTGGAAGGGAAGAGTCCAGGCAAGGATGCAGAGACCGGTTTTTAAACACGCGGAGCTGAGAGCAACAAGCTGCAGCCTTTAACCATTCAGCAACATTCAACAGGTAAAATCCATCCGCCACCCCGGTCCCTCCCCCGATTTGCTCGCCTTTATTGCAGAATCCCTCCCCTTTGGAATGAATGAACGCCCAAGGGAGCAAATTCTGCTCACTTATACTAGAGATTTCATCTTTCTTCACATTCTGGGTTTGAAAGGAGATGGGAGGCGCATGCATTGAAGAACCGATTTAGTGCTTCGATTTGGTTTGAAACACGGCTCTGTCGAGTGCAGATACGCACTTTGCTATTATGTCTATTTCTCTGCATGCAGGAACGCATTTGCCACGCTTTCCCCCAACCCCCTGGTTTGAGAAATTGCTTTGTTTACCACGGTCACTTTCCAAAGCAATGGAAAGTCAGGCAGGAATCAGGACGTGAATAAGGCTGCTGTTGTTGCTGTTGACTGCTTTTAAAAACACAAGCTGCACAAGGCGCCCTGCAGCGTTTGAAAGGAAAAGAGATGGCATCCCCAGCAACGCCGAACTCGCTGCCTACTCTGGGCAGCCTTTGGAGCTGATATAACACCGTACAGTACAAGGGATTTGCTGGAGAGATGAGGTCTGTGCATTGGCAGTTATGCGTACAGGAGAAACTTATACCCAGCTAGCTAGCTGGCTGTGAGAGGCCCCTTTCCAGATAGATCAGCTGGTTTCTTATTTGGTCAGTAGTCTGCAATAAAGAAAGAAAGAAAAGTAAAGAAGATTATGGGGAAAGGACAAAATATTTAAACTTAGGTTGCAAGTACACTATCATGTCAGCTCCTTCCTAAGCGCACATGAATTAGCGTCTTGAGAAATTTGATGAATTTGTTAGTTTGGCTTCAGATGCAGCCTTTCTCGTTTTTCTTGTCATTTTTCTCCCCCCCCCCACCCCCCCACCCCAGCAAGCTCACTCCAGAAAGATCTGCATCACAAGCAGTACTACTGCTGCAGTAGCGTTTATTTTTGCTGCTGAAGGTTATGACTGAAACCCTTCATTGGGGTATTTGGGATCTTTTGGTGATTACCAGAGGGATTGCGGTGTTGCTGGACATGTTGATTTGCAGCCCTATACCCACTTACTGGGAGTGAGCCCCAATGGACTCAGTGGGGCTCAAAAGTTGGCATGTATAGGATTGCACAGTGAGTCTTTTGTAGCATTAACACCTAAGGCTGTGTACACACTCCCTTTTGCCCTGTATCCAGTGCCGGTGGTGGTGGTTTGGGAAGCAATGTACAAATAACAAAGTATCTACCCATAAGCTATCCTGTATCTGTTCTGTAATTTCTTTTGATTTTGATACTTTCCCCCCAAACCAGCTTAGGTCCGAATGGAGAAAAAAAAACCCAACCTGGCTGTGTTTTAAACTAGCAATACACACACAGTCTGAGAGTCCTATGGCACCATGCAGACTGTCACATTTATTGTCTGCCATAACAAGCTCTTATTTGATGCCTAGTTTCTTAGTACAAATTATGCTACTCACACCATTTGTGGGCATTGTGCTCCTTCATTGCATTCCATTCCTCTCTTGTTTTATGCCATCCATTCCCATGTGTTCGTCTTGATTCGGCTCAGATTTTCTGTTTATGGCAAAACAACCACAGGCAGCACTGAGATCTCTATAATCAATCTTTACAAAGAGTTGGCTTGATGTTTTGTATTCTTGTCTTCCAACCTCTGCCTAATTCCAAATCATTTATTTTTCATTGGGGTCTCTAGACCCCAAGCACTGTTTAAGCCTGCCCTATGAACATTTGTGGCAAGAAAAGGGGTGCATCCTTGCACTTTCACAGTATTGCATCTAGTGACTCTGCAAAAAAAAGACTCATATAAAATATTTTGTATACAGTGGTACCTTGCAAGACGAATGCCTCGCAAGACGGAAAACTCACAAGACGAAAGGGTTTTTTGTTTTTTGAGCTGCTTCGCAAGACGATTTTCCCTATGGGCTTGCTTCGCAAGACGGAAACGTCTTGCAAGTTTGTTTCCTTTTTCTTAAAACCGTTAATACAGTTGCGACTTGACTTCGAGGAGCAACTCATAGAACGCGGTGTGGTAGCCTTTTTTGAGGTTTTTAAAGACTTTGGTGATTTTTTAAGCTTTTCCAAAACTTTCCCGACACCGTGCTTCGCAAGACGAAAAAAATCACAAGACGACAAAACTCGCGGAACGAATTAATTTCGTCTTGTGAGGCACCACTGTAAAACGCTGCACCTCCATTTAGCTCCAAGATGGGGAAACTGTGACCGTCCAGATTTTATTGGATTCCAGCAAGGCCAGTGGTTGGGAGTGATGAGAGAAGTTGTCCCACAACATCTGGAAGCCACCTGGTTCCCCATCTCTAGTTTACGTGGACCCTTGTGGAGCAATCCTAGGCAAGTCTACTTGGAAGTAAGCTCTGTTGAGTGCAATGGGACTTACTCCCAGGTGAATAAAACCAAAAGTAAAACAATACAAAGCAGCAGTTTGAAAAAACCATTTGCTGAAATAATCTAGGAACCAATAATCTAGGAACTAAATTAAGTTTTTCTACCTGTGCAACTTTTTCTGAATGCTGTATGGCAAAGCACATGAATATGACCTTTGGAGAGTTTGTAAGTAAACCATTTTTAACTTACCAAACATGTGGTCTTGGAACTCGGGAGGGCCCTTTTAAAGGTATAATGGCTTTTATTTCCATGCTTTGCTTTGCTACATATCTTGTGATTTTAAACATTTTGCTGGGGTTTTCTCACCAAAGAGTACTTACCCCAAATTTGGATCTTGGCATCCGGAAATTCTCTTTCCTTTTTTAATACTGGCCCAACACATGGAGATAAGAAGCTGCCTTTTACTGAGTCCATCCAGCTCAGTCTCATCTATGCTGACTGCCAGAAGGTGAACAGGGACGGGCAAACCCTTCTAGGCAAGATGTTCCACAATCTGGGAAGCACAACTGTGCAGCTCTCCTGGCAACCTACCTGATCTCTATGCAGTTTGCATAAGCATATGAAAGCCTTCATCATCCTGACACCTTCCAGATGTTTGTACCACAACTCTCATCCCATTGTAGTCTAAAACATCTGGAGGGCACCGGACTGGTGAAGGCTGGACAGAACCTGAGACTGCACAGCAGACTTGAATTCCCAAGCAGGTTCATCCGGGAGGAGGATTGCCTACATAGCAAAGATCCAGTAGCTACCAGCACAGCACATGCTTGCATGGAGAGGGGTCCTGTTTCAGTCCCTACCATCTCTTCCAGGTAACTGACCTCAGGCAGCAGAGCTAGGAAAGACCTCTGCCTAAAAAGCTGCTGTCACTTGGAGAAGGCAGCTCTGGGCTAGAAAGACCAACAGTGCGAGCCAGATTCCTATCATGTTTCATGGTGTGCACACTTCAGATCCCTCATAAAACCAGCTGTAGTACCTGGCTCACCTGCTGGATGCCTGATCCATGACCCGTGTGAATTGTATGCATGCACCACTGTCCTAATTCATAAAATATCACTGGGTCAGGTACACCTTCTGGGTTTGTTTTAGCAACCTGCATAACAGCTACTACAGTCCTTCTCCTTGATCTTAATAGCTGTTCACTCTTGAGGAGCAGATGTAGACATTCTCTCTGCTTCAGCATCACTTTGCTTTGTCTAGCTCATCTCTCTGCTCCATACCTTTTACCTTGAACGAGTTCTTTTCCCTTTATGCTCATGACCTAAGCACCATCTCTTTACCTTGGACTTTGACACCTGAAATTAGTGCTGTCAGGGCCTACACTATTCTTGTGTCCGTAAACTGATTTAACTGTTTTTCATGCTGAATTTCAAATTGTTGTAACCCACCCTGGGATTTGCTGGTGAAGGGCAGGTAATAATTTCATCCACAGCAATAATAATAATTATTAATAATAATGTTCTGCGTGCACAAATTATGTTTTCCGTGAGCTGTGCATATGTTTGACCCCTGCTGACAAAACATAGCTATAATTCTTCTTGCATGTTACAAAGTAGCAACAACATATTTGCGGTTTTGTTGTTGTTGTCTTTTTGCAATTTAATTTTCAGTTAAGATCAACAACTGACCTACAAACCTTGCTTTGACTCGAAACTCCCACCTAGAGATGGGGAAGAAATTTGCTTAGTTTGCATTTGAATGCAATCCTACCTAATTTGCACTTCTTCAAAATATACACAGCCCAAAGCAGCTATCCTTGAAAATTCACACTTTCTTGAATTTTGCATGCAATTCTCCAACCAAAAATGTGTACTTAGGACCATATTTTAGGGCACGTGTGGATTAAAATGCTATTTTTGTGAATAGTGCTTGCAAAAATGCATATAAAAGGGGAAATACAAGTTCTACATACTAAACCCTTTTAGTATGAAACTATGCCTCAGTGCAGCTGTAACGATGGGGTACTTTAAAGTATAGCTGAAGGATGAGGAATGGACTTGCGTGATCAAGTGCTTCTTTCCCCACTTACTCCCTTATCCAGAGCAAATCCTATTTCCCCCTGCTGGTCTCAACAAGGGCCAGCTATTGTTTTGGCAGCAACCTCAAGCGGTTACTGCCAAGGTCACCTGAAAGTGAGCCCACCAGTCATCCTTGATAGGCTAAGGTTGTGTCATGAACATAATGGGAGAAAAAAGGCCTTTTTGTCTCTAGGTGCCAATGCATTGTGAAACTTTCAAGGACACAGCATTTACCTCACAGTGATGTAATGATGGCCCAACTAGAGGAAAGCTATTTCAGTGCTTCCCCACAATGCAACAGGTAGAAGGATGCTACTTTTCTTGTTTTGGTTTTTTAATAAGCACATCTAAACTCTTATACTATTTTAATCAAATGTATGTCCACATGAATTGTTTTCACTTGTCTTACCAAAATGTGCTGTTGAAAAGGGGTCCATGCTGAATCGTATGATTTGTGGCTGCAGATTGTTTCCAAGTTTTCTGTTGAGAATTGGCACATGCTTTTTCTGCACGCTGCCGGTTGTACTGTCTCTTGTTTTCTGACTAAACTAGGGGCTCCTCCAGGCTTCCTTTTGT